CAACAATTCTCATACATAAGGGTTAAATATAATAAATCTTCATGCTTAGGGTTTAATTTGAAAATACCTCATCATTGGGATGTTACAGTGGGCAAAGGTCAACGATGGACCTACCCTCAACATCTATCGGGAAGAAAATCTTATGGGAACACTTATCTTGATATTCACAACATTTAGACGACATTCAAAGAGTTATTTGGTTGGAAATGGTTTTCAAGGTAGGTGTGATGGGTTTTAGTTTTGTGTGTGTGTGTGTGAGAGAGAGACAGAGATTAATTGGTTTTATATTTTGTTTTTTTTATTTATTTTAATCACAAAACTGAAAAAGAAAAAACAAGAAGAAAATCATCATTATAAAAAAATTCAAAGCAATTGGACTAAATTTACAAAAGTTTAAACTTCCAATCATACATCAAACTTTTTTGGATTTTTTAGCTAATCGGAGACATTTGTGCTCTTTTATTTTTATTTATTTATTTACTTTTTTGTATTTTGTAAAAAAATTTAATCCTAAAGAAAAAAAGAAAAAGAAAAAGAAAGAAAATCAAATGGCCTTTTATGGAAACCAATGTTTTAAAACCCGGGTTTTTGGTTGACCCGGTATGATGACCGGTTCACGGGTTAACTGGTTCAACCGGTTGAACCGCCGGGTCAACCCGATTTATGGTATTTCTCTATTTTTATATATTTTTACTTTCATGCATAATGCATAAACATATAAAATCAATAATTTAATGTTCACAAAGTTGAAATATTTAAAAACATTGATGAAACCGCAAACGGCTCGTTGTTTTGGTCTTCGCTACTTGTTTTCAACTATCTAAACCCTATTAAAACGGGTCAATCCGGTTTTAACCGGTTCGACATAAGCGGTTGAACTGCGGTTTAGAGGAAACCCGACCGGTTCGATCCGGTTCGTATTTTTACAAAAAACCGGTCTCAATTGACCCGCCTTCTACCTGGGTCACGGTCCAACCGGTTGAACCGGCCGGGTCAACCCGGTTTTAAAACATTGATGGAAACCACTCAGTTTTCCTTTTAGGGGTCGTTTGTTTACCTCTTAATTGTAAAATTAAGAGGCAGTGTCTTAAAATTTCAGATTCAGAGCGTTTGTTTACATATTATATTTTACCTCTTAAACTTAAAAATACCTCTTATTTTTTCAGATGTTAAAGCAAGTATGAAAAATAAAAAAACACGCGTTCCTTCTATTTGCCCTAATCGCCTCTTTCTTTCCTTCCTATACCGTCTCCCCTCCAGGTCCGACTTTCTCCCCTCCAGGTCCGACGCCTTGCGCTTGCTCCCACCGATTGCTCCGACCGACGAAGCCAGCGACGGCGGTATAGACGCAGCCAGCAACGCCGCCAGCGACTACTCCTTCTTCCTTCCGCCAGCGACGGCGGTACACCGATTCTTCCCTTCTTCCTTCCGCCTGCGACTGTTCCTTCTTTCCCTTCAAAATTGAAAGTAAAAAATCGAATTTATTATGCTATATATTTCTGATTTCTTAAATCAAAATTAATACTTGATGTTTTACTCCATTATTATGTTATATGCTTCATTATGTTGTTATATGTTGGGTAGTGATGTTATATGTTTCAATTTGAATGTGTTCAATGAGTATGATCAAATATTGATGCTGAAATTTGATGTTATGTTTGATTCAATGTTGATGCTGAATGTTGATGCTGAATTTAGATGTTATATGCAGAATTTTGATGTTATATGCTGAATTTAGATGTTATATGCAGAATTTTGATGTTATATGATGAGTTTTGATGTTATAAGCCGAATTTTAGTGTTATTTTGATGTTATGTTTAATGTTTTCATGATAATTATGCTGAAATTTTGTTGCTGAATTCTTACTTCTCTTTGATGTTCATGAAATATCCATTACTTTTGCTATTGTGCATTTGTTTTGTTGAAGTAATTATTGATAATGTGCCTTTATATTGTTTAAATTGTTGTTGAAAATGTGTATTTGCAATGTTGAACTTGTTAAAACATACATTTTTTTTGTTGAATTGATAAAAGCAATGGGAGAAAAGAAGGATAGGATTAGTTGGAAGGTTGAAGGTGTAGAAAAAACGTTTCTAGAAGCTTGTTTACGTGAAGTTACGATTAATGGAAGGGAAGGGAGTAGTTTGAAAGCATTATCTTGGAGGAATGTTGCTGAAACATTAAAAATTGAACATAACTTCATTGTCGACCAAAAACAAATGAAGAACCGCTATGACTACCTAAAGTCAAAATTTGGTGCTTTTTTGAAGTTAAAAAACAAAACCGGCAATGTGTACAATTCAACAACCAACACCTTCAATCTTTCCAAAGAAGAATGGGAACTAGAATCGAAGGTATTTTATTTAGTTATAAAAAATATATTATCATCTTTAAATAATAAAATATTTGTTCCAAACAGTCAAACAAACATGTGGATTCTTTGAGACGCACGCCACTACCGTACCCCGACCTTTGCACACAGTTGTTTGAAGGCGCGACTGCGACAGGCATTCATAGTTGGGGGCCAACTTCTACCCTTCCCCGTCCTACTCAAGAGTCAAGTCAGTATAGTTTGCATGACTTTGATGACATTGATTGCACTCAACAAGAAACTGTAGGTCTCAGTGACGAGTCATCCGCTCAATCAAAAAAAAGAAAGAATACGGATACGACAAAGAGTCAAAATAAAAGTAAAGATAAAGGCAAAGATAAGGGTAAAGATGCATCCAATTCAAGATTGCTTGAAATCGGGGAAGATATTGCCACAGTTGCTAAAATATTTGTGGAAAAGCATTCTTCTTCAAATTTGGATGCGTGTATGGAAAAATTGGAGAAGTTAGGATGGGGAATATTTGATCCAAGATACACTACTGCTGTTGCTCTTTTTGGTGAAAGTGCGGATAAGAGGCACGTGTGGTTAACCATTGATCCAGCTATTTGTGAGAATTGGGTCAAGACTGTTGGAGCACATTACGGAATGTTTCGCTAAGTAGATTTTTTGAATGTTTTGATGGTTTTTTTTGGATAACTAGATGTTTGGTTTGAACTAGATGGCTTTTTTTTTTGGATTACTTGATGTTTGGTTTGAACTAGATGGTTTTTTTTTGGATTACTTGACATTAATGACTTGATGTTTTGGATTACTTGATGTTTTGGATTACTTGGTGTTTTGGATTATTTGATATTAATGGCTTGATGAATTTTTATATTATATGTTGTTAATATAATTGTTATGTATTTTCAAAATAACAGATTGCTTATGGATTCGGATGAAGAAATTGCATTTTTCATGTTACTATGTTGCTATTGGTTGAATCTAGCATTCAACAGAATTGGAAGGGCAATTGATAATGATTCGGAAATGAGTGGTCATCAACATACACAAGAATTGTTACATGGAACTTCTACACAATGTAAAGACCTGATGCGTCTTTCACGTGAAGCATATGTACTTTTATGCAATCATTTTAGACGAAATAATTGGTTGCAAAGTAGTAGGCATATAAGCGTTGAAGAAAAGATGGCTATGTTCTTAACTACTATAGCACATAATAAACGGTTCAGGATTATCAAACGAAGGTTTCAACACTCCACAGAAACAGTTCATAGATGCTTTCATGAGGTGCTAAATGCAATGATGATTTTTGCAAAAGAAGTTATAGTGCCAACGAATTCTAATGCAACTGTGAATTCCTCAGAGAGGCATCGTAAGCTAAAAGAAATCTTTCCTGGAGCAATAGGTGCGCTAGATGGAACTCTTGTACATGCAGTCGTGCCTGCTGATCAACAAACTCGCTATAGGGGAAGAGGAAAAGGTGAATGCTTTCAAAATGTTTTAGGAATTTGTGATTTTGATATGATGTTCACATTCGTATGGGCCGGTTGGGAGGGTATAACACATGATTCGCGAGTTTTGAAAGAAGTTGCATGTAACCCGACTTCAGGCTTTCCGTTCCCTCCTCCAGGTTTTTAATTCTTTTTAAGATTATTCTAAAATACGATATTAAATTTCTATATATAATACTTCCTTTACTGATGTGTACAGATAAATATTACCTTTGCGATGCTGCATACACCAACACTCGTGGATTTATGACTCCTTATCGCAACACGAGGTATTGGTTAGCCGACTATCGACGGCGACGTCCGTTAACTAAGGAAGAAAAATTCAATCATGCACATGCGCAACTCAGAAATGTTATTGAACGTGCTTACGGTGTTTTGAAGGCGAGATTCCCAATTCTAAAGCGAATGGCTCCTTTTCCTTTTTCAGTGCAAAGAGATATAGTCGTTGCTTGTTTTGCAGTCCACAATTTCATAAGGAAATGCGATATTCATGATGAGTTATTTATGGCGTTCGAGGAGAACAATGCTCAACCACAAGGGGGACAAAATGATGTCGAAAACGTACACGATATGGAATGGGGTTCACAAGGAAATGAATACATGGATAATTTACGTGACCAGATTGCGAATCAATTGGGATGAAATTAGATTTGTAGGATTTTATTTGGATTTTAGTATGATATTGTGGATTTAAAAATATTTATGTTTGATTTGGATTTGTGTTTAATTTTGATTTATGCTAAATTTGAATTTTATATGGTGTTTATATATTTTTTAATACATAATTAAGAATTTTTATTAGGTTATTTTCTAAATAAACAGATGAATTTAATTAAAAAAATAAAACAGAAGGGTAAAATGATCATTTTAATAATTCAGCAGAACAATTCAGAGATCCCAACCAAACAGCATGTTAAACATTCGGCTCTTTAAATTTCAGACCCTCTTAAAAAAATTCACACCTCTTAAAAATAATTCAATTCAGATGCTGCAAACAGCCCTTAGTCTTTTTGGACCAAACACGCCGCAAATTCGATAGCTTTTCCACACAAATTCATCACGTTGACACAGCGAGTGCTAGATCCATTGTTCTGAGGGTTATTCGATTCATCTAGTTTGTTTGAAATCGTTTCGCATAAACTTCATACCTTCGATGGCTTGTTCTTCAACTTCATCCATTCAGAAGAGCTTCAAGTATGATGTGTTTCTGAGTTTTAGAGGTGAAGACACTCGTGCTAACTTCGTTGATCATCTTTATCATGCTCTTCACCATAAAAGTATTCACACATACAAGGACGACGTGAGAATCAAGAAAGGGAAAAGAATAAGTGATGAGCTCATCGGATCCATTAAAGATTCAAAGTTCTACATCATTGTTTTCTCCAAGAACTATGCATCTTCTTCTTGGTGCTTGGATGAACTTGTGAAGATAATGGAATGTCACAGCACCATCGAGCATACCGCTTATCCCGTCTTCTATGATGTAGAACCGTCTGAAGTCCGGAAACAAAGCGGGGCAGTAGCGGAAGCATTTGCTAAACATGAAAATGAAGAGTCTGCTGGGAAATGGAGACAGGCTCTGAAAGATGCAGCGGATCTGGCTGGGTGGGAGTTGAAGAACACCGCTAACGGGTAATTCGTTCATCAGATCTTTCCAATAATCTTGTATCTTGTTTATTTATGGTTTACATTTACCCTGGATGTCAAATGCTCGTACTTGACATCTTAGATTGTCATATTTGAACTCAATTTCTGAGTCTTGTCTAAAAATTAAACATGGAATATGATTATAGGGACTATGTTATTTTTCATGTACGGTTGAATGTTACAGAGGGATTTTGAGCAAGCTAATTGAATCTTCTTTGAAATACAGGCATGAAGCTGAATTCATCCAAAAAATCGTTGAAGAGCTTTCACTAGAGCTACGATCTATCAGTTTCAATGTTGATGAAAAATTAGTAGGAATGGAGACCCGGGTCAACGATGTTTTATCAGCTTTAGGAACTGATTTTGATGATGTTCGTATGGTGGGGATCAAGGGGATGGGAGGTGGTGGGAAGACAACTTTGGCAAGAGCTGTTTTTGATCAAATCTCCTTTCAATTTGAAGGTATAAGCTTTGTTGAGAATGTCAGGGAAGTTTCAAGCGCATCTTTGTTTGGTTTGAAGTCTTTGCAAAATCAAGTCCTTTCAGATGTTTTAAAAGATAAAGACATCAAAGTAAGTAGTGTTTATGACGGGAAACACCAGATGAAGAGGAGGATGCATGATAAAAAGGTTCTTGTTGTTCTAGATGATGTGGATCATATAGACCAACTTGATGCGTTAGCCGGTGAACCTGATTGGTTTAAGCCGGGAAGTAGGATTATCATTACAACAAGAGATGCGCAGGTTTTGGTAGCACACAGAGTAAAATTTATTCGTGATGTCACTCTGTTATCAGATGGAGAAGCAATTTGCCTCTTCAGTAGGTATGCATTTGGGAGAGATATTCCAATTCAAGGGTATGAAGAGCTATCCAGACAAGTTGTACGTTACGCTGCTGGTCTTCCCTTAACGATGAGAGTTTTGGGTTCGTTTCTCTGTGGTAAAATTGAGCTTGAATGGGTAGATGCCTTAGAAAGGCTTAAAACAATCCCATTAGCGGAAACTTTGAAAAAACTAGAATTAAGCTATATCGGTCTAGAGGAGGATTACAAGGAAATATTCCTGGATGTTGCATGCATCATGAAAGGTTGGCGGAAAGATAAAGCAGTCAAAGTGCTTGAAAGCTGTGGATTTCATGCTAGAAATGGTTTAAGAGTTCTTCAACAAAAATCTCTCATAACTATTAATGGTAATTCTAATTATGAATGGGTGGACATGCATGACCATATTGTAGAAATGGGCAGGAATATTGTTCGTCGGCTGCACCCCAATAAACCTCACAAACATAGCCGATTGTGGATTAATGAAGAAATTGAAGACATATTGGCTAATGAATTGGTAAGGATTAAGTTTATTTGTAAGTTTATTTGTTATGACTTAAATTTCATGGTGACTTGTTTTGGGTTATAGGGTACTAAAGCAACAAGATGTATACGATCTACCATGACATTCAATCTGGATATTGCTATAAAAGGTCTTGGAAAGATGAAGAAACTTAGGTTTCTTTCAATGCTTATCCCATTTCCCTCTATTTCGGAATTTAATATAGTTAGCCAAGGCTTTCCAAATGCTTTACAATATTTGGAAGTGAGAAATTACCCTTTTAGGTCTTTACCCAAAACATTTCAAGCAAATAATCTTGTTGCACTTGAGATGCCGTACAGTAAGATCGTTCAATTGTGGGAAGGGGGAGAAAGAAAGGTATAATTCTTGTTGATTGATTGTTGTGCATGATTCATTATAATGTTGTACATCTTTTTCTTTGTTATTACACAAATATTAATATTGCTTTTTGCTTATGTTAGGTTCTTAACAAGCTGAGATTCCTTGACCTCAGTTATTCAAAATTGAGTACCTTTGACCTTGGGCTTACTCCAAATCTTGAAACCCTGACTCTTCGACAATGTTCTGATTTGGTAGAACTTCACGTGGCAATTGGATGTTTAAAGCTCACGTGTGTCGACCTTGAAGGTTCAAGGTTAAGGACCGTTGACCTTGGTCTGGCTCCAAATCTCGAGACTGTGATTCTCTCTGAATGCCATAATTTGGTAGAACTTCACATGCCTGATAGATGTTTAAATCTCAGGTCCTTACTACTCTCTAATTCCAAGTTGAGTACCCTTAACATTGGGCTGACTCCAAATCTCATGTCTTTAGATCTTAAAAATTGCTACTATTTGGGAGATTTTCACATGGCTGGTGAATGTCTAAAGTTGACCAAGCTCGACATTAGTCATTCAAAGTTGAGGACCCTTAACCTTGGGTTGACTCCAAATCTTGAGAAATTGGATCTTGATAATTGTTATTGTTTGGAAGAACTTTACATGGCTGATGAATGCGGAAAGCTCGCGTATCTAACAATTAGTCATTCAAAGTTGAGGACCCTTAACCTTGGGTTGACTCCAAATCTTGAGAAATTGGATCTTGATAATTGTTATTGTTTGGAAGAACTTTACATGGCTGATGAATGTGGAAAGCTCGCGTATCTAACAATTAGTCATTCAAAGTTGAGGACCCTTAACCTTGGGTTGACTCCAAATCTTGAGAATTTGGATCTTGATAATTGTTATTGTTTGGAAGAACTTCACATGGCTGATGAATGTGGAAAGCTCGCATATTTGAAAATTAGTGATTCAAAGTTGAGGACCCTTAACCTTGGGATGACTCCGAATCTCAAGAAATTGGATCTTCATCATTGTTATTGTTTGGAAGAACTTTACATGGTTGATGAATGTGAAAAGCTTGCCTATCTAAGAATTAGTGATTTAAAGTTGAGGACCCTTAACCTTGGGTTGACTCCAAATCTTGAGAATTTGGATCTTGATAATTGTTATTGTTTGGAAGAACTTCACGTGGCTGATGAATGTGGAAAGCTCACCTATTTAAAAATTACTCATTCAAAGTTGAGGACCCTTAACTTTGGGCTGACTCCAAATCTCAAGACGTTACATCTTAAAGAATGTAGTAATTTGGTAGAACTTCACACTACCATCGGATGTCTAAAAAAGCTTGCCCACCTAGACATAAGTGGTTGTTTGGGGTTTAACTCTTTTTTGTTTAACTTAAAAGATTATACTTCTTGTAGTGTGGATGAATCACTTGAGGTCGGTCCTTTAGCCGAGTTACATATTATCGTAAACTCCCTAGAAAATTGCCCACTTCACCCTGACAATAGCTTGCCAAAGTTTCAGTTTAATTGTTTTTATGAAGAAGATCGACCTTCAGTGACTGGAAATCTTGAGATGCTTATTTCTCTAGGTATGTGTGCTTGCACAAATCTTGAGACTTTTTCAGGAATCCTTTTTGGGTTACGATCTTTAAGATTGCTTAAACTGGAAGGCAATATTCTAGAGGTTCTTAAGAACTTTGACCAGTCAATGAAGGTCGATGAGTTAATTTTGTTGTCTCCAACGATTAAGCATCTTCCGGATAGCATTTGGATGTTGAAACATCTGAAATCTCTTGAACTTAATCTTTGTGTGTGGCTTGAGAAGTTACCTGAGGATCTTGGCCAGTTAGAATCTTTAGAGAAGCTGAATTTGTCATATACAAAGATTAAGCATCTTCCAGATAGCATTTATATGTTGAAACATCTGAAATCTCTCGAACTTAGATTCTGTTGCTTTTTTGAGAATTTGCCTGAGGATCTTGGCCGATTAGAATGTCTGGAGGATCTAACTTTATCTTCTACAATGATTAGCCATCTTCCGGATAGCATTTGCATGTTGAAACATCTGAAATCTCTTGAGCTTATTTCTTGTTCGTTGCTCGAGAAGTTACCTGAGGATCTTGGACGATTAGAATGTTTAGAGAAGCTATCCCTAGAGAAGTGTGAATTTTTACAAGATATCCCGAATAGCATCGTTAAGATGAAATCATTAAAATGTTTCCATATCCCGTATTGTATTCGAGTTGAGAAGTTGCCTGAGGAACTTGGAAGTTTAGAATGTTTAAAAGAGATAGATATAGAAGGTACAAGCATAAGTCATCTTCCACAGAGCATTTTTTTGCTGAAAGATCTACATATTACTGGGTCAAGAGGGATTGCTCAGTTATGGGGTTTTACACCCGAGATACAAACCCCAGAATGCAAAACAACCTATGTCCGACTAAATGGTGATGGGATGGTTTTGAGAATCTCAGAAGGCCCGGGAAAGCCAATTCAGAAAGAACTATTGTAACAGGTGCTTTCTCTTTTTTGTTGATCATCTTAACCTTTTGAACTGATATGAAAATGATTAATTTTCAGCAAAAATAAGCTATTATATAAAAAAGTACATGTACTATACGTATAAGAAGAAACAGTGTTATAGTTTTAAGCTTTTGTTTCTTATTCATCGTTTTAAATTTGGAGCCTTATCCGAGTTAAAATCGGCCATGACTTGGATCATCTTGTCAGTTAGAGTTAAGTTGAAAATCCTGTTATAACTTTGTTCATCTTAATGTAAGGTCTCATCATCTCATGTTAACTACCTAAAGTAGCTAGTCATTTGTCTATGGTATATTCTGATATGCAAAACTGTTACAGCTAAATGCTAGAAATAACAATGTACTTCCATTTGATTGTGTATTATAGCATCTGACTTCCATTTCATTCTATTGCAGCATTGTACTTCCAAACTTTTTCTTATTAGGACATTATACTTCAAAAAATGTAACCAGTTATATCAGTGAAAGTGGTACAAACTAGTGTTTTAACTTATGAAATAGTAAGGTTTTATTGAATGATTGAAGATAGAAATGGAAGATTACAAACTATTCTTGAAATTCGAGAGGTCAAGATCTCTCCCAAAGTGATTTCTCACCAAAATACGCTTCAAAATGCCAAATTTCCTAATACCAACCTGTTAATACTCACACAACCGACCTAATCTAATAGAATGACCAAAATGCCCCTGCCTTACTACTTTATTACAGACCTGCCACATCTTTCCTAGCCCTTAAAAAGACTACTAGGAAGTGAACCAGAAAGTTTCTCTTTGTATTTAAATGATATTACTATAATTGGTGGTTTTTTCAAAGTACAATGCTGTAACAGGAAGTAATGGAAGTAAGATGCTATATATATATATATATATATATATATATATATATATATATTATTCCCTCTTACCATATTGGCTTACAGGACAGATGTTTGATATAGTAAACTTCATGGGGCATCTACAATTGAATATATATTGGCTAGAGACAATAGAGATGGAAAATCTGTTGATTAATGCACATGTATCACCATGTATTCAGCTGAAGCCAGGAAAGAAAGTAGAGGTGCTCATATTACCTCACATTCATACCTCCTTTTTAGTTTGTTTCTCTTCTCTTCACTTTTTCTCATAACAATCTACATTCAATACTCTTGCAGGAAAGATATGATGAAAAATTGATGGAACACACACTTGGGTAAATTTCTCTCTGTTCTTCTCTTATATACATACAGCAACAAAAACCCAAGGCCTACAAGGTCGAATGGGGTTGAATGCAAGAAATTGCAGGATACTTTTGTTAGTTTATTTTTCATATCATTCCACTTTCATCTATTACTGTAAAAAATCAACCAGTTATAGCAATGTCATTCAAATGCAAAGCAATTTGCAAATCTATAATTGAGTAAATTTTTTGAAGTACCATGTTCTAATAAAAAAATTGATTGAAAGTATAATGCTATCATTTGTGCAATTTTTCATAGTATAATGTCCTAATAAGAAAAAAAATTAAATTTGAAGTACAATGCTTTAATTGGGTAGATTATATTTAGAATATTAATACGGAAAAATTAAGAATGTGCTACAAGTTCTATTAAGAAACAAGTTGAAAGTGCAATCTTATAAATGGTTGTTATCAAAGTATAATGTTCTAAATTCTAATAACATTTTTTTGGAAGTACAATGCTAGAACCGAGTAAATTTTCAAAGTTGAATGTCTTGATACGAAATTTTACTAAAAGTGCAATGTTGTGATCAAAAGAAGTCAAAGGATGATATAATAAACAAATGTAAGAAAGTACGTACAATGCTATTTCTTAGCTCTATATGTATGATTGTAGGAGTTATCATACAGAATATAACTGGTCATCGATAAAGCCAAAGTGATTAACAATAACTAATAAGGATCCCATTGTTTGAGCCTTATCATTCTCTTTTATGTTATATATATATAGGTTCGATATATTAATTTCTCTAGTGTTGATTCAAATACCGATATATAGAAACATACAACGTCTGAATTCAAAAAAGCTAGAAACGTACGTATTATATTAATATAAAGATCTGCCTGTTACAAAAAGCTGGCAAGAAATACAAACTAAGTTCAACTTATATCTACATGTGCAGAGAGTTGGATGATGCACGATGATCGGAAACAAGTTTCAACAACTACTAAAAATTAATTAAAACTCATTCTTATCGATCCCTCATTTCTTCGAGAGCTAGTGTGCCTGTGTTTGATGTCGAGCTTTTTCCTTCTCCTTCACCTCACTTCCTTGAGTCTTGTCATAATCTTCAAGATCAAAAACAGTAAATCAATTAAACGAATTAAAAAAAAAAAATCAGTTCTTGATTCTGTGATCAACAAATCTACCAGGATGATTGCCATGGACGTCCTTATCTTCATCGTCATGAGAAAGCGATTGGTTGCCTCCGTAAATTCCTCCAAAACCTTCTTCATCTGATCTCGTAGCGTAACCTTCTCCAAACGAATGTGACATCACATCCCTAACGAAACCCTCCAGAAAAAATCAATTAGTTCATGTTTATATTGATTAATTACATATATAACGACATTATGAGATTACTCAAAGAATTAGTACCCCTTTTTCTGAGCTTCCTGAGTTTCTTCTTTCTTCTCCATGTTCTCAGGCTCTTTGGCTCCTGCGGATGCCTGTTGGAATCTTACAGTTTGGAAGACCGGAGTTGCTTTTCCGGCGAAGTTGTTTGAGGTGGCGAAGAGAGTAGAAACGGCTGGTTTGGTTTGAATCGGAAAGGATTTGATGGCGCTGAACATATCCGTGTTGCTTCTGTTTTAAAGTTGGGATCGGAGAGGGAGGATTTATGATGATGATAATGGGAGATGAATATGTGAGGGGTTTTACACGTGGCATGCAGAGATTGACACGTGTGGTCTTGGAAAACGTTGCATAAATGGCTGTTTGACATTTGCCAGTGAGATGCTGAAGCTCGTCTCGAGACATTGAAAAGAAAAGGAAAAAACTGAAGTATTCGATGTCGATAGCTTAGGGCTTAAGGCTTGAGGATGTCGGCAATTGTATAGCAAACACGTCACACATCATCGCCTCCGACAGAGGAGAGAGGGAAGGTGGTTAACGATTGATTTGTTTTTATTTTTTATTTTTTTTTTCAATTTCACACCGTTTAAATTTATCAAATTTAATTTTCAACCACCTTTTAACCCATTACATGTTTCAACTATTTCTTAAAATAAATAAATAAAATAAAATAAAAACTAGCCCTATGTTTAAAAAATTCAAAATTTTTAACCTTTTTCCTACTACTATAAATACACATCAACCTCCGATTCTTACAATACAAATCTTTACAATATCAACCTCTCTCAATCCCTCAGTGTTATTTCTCAAATGTATTTTCCTAGCCAACCAAAAACCTCAAGAAGAAACAAGAAATAGCTTCAAAAACTTCATCAACCAACTTGTTGTCTTTGATCTACCGACCTCAACTTGATGGACTCATCTACTCACAACCAATGGATCATTATTCCGAAAATGTTCCATATTATACATATGGGGCAAACCAACCCAACCCTAATTCCAATCCCAATCCATACCTTAACTCGGTTTTAATGCATTTCAAACATTGCAAGAAAATCCATTCCAATCTCAACCTTGTATTGATTTGGATTCAATATCTGAATCTGAAGATACACCCGAACCTCAAGCCAACCTAAAGAAAAAAGGGGAGGCCGACAACCAAGCTTGAACACCGGATGAAGAGAAGGTGTTAGTAGAAGCACGGGTTAACACATCAAATGATCTTATGCTTAGAGATAATCAAGATGGAAAAACTTTTCATGTAAAAGTATGAAAAAGTTTTCTTGAGTGAATTAAGAGAGTAAAATAGCACACAAAAGATCAAATATATTCAAACTGAGGATTACAAGCAAACTTGCAAAGAAGTTTAATGGTGTGTTCGTCGACGTGAAACGCTCTTAGCCAAATAGTGCTAGCGATGTATAAATCCTAACCAAAGTTCAGGAAGTGTTTCACAAAACAAAGAAAATGACCTTCAAAATTATTGACTTTTGGAGTGTTGTGAAGGACACACAAAAATGGCTTAAACAATACACAATAGAAGTAATCATGTGTGATTAAAAAAAAGAACCAAAACATCCGAAAACTCTCATAGCCAATCTTATAATGTACAAGTTGGGGTAGAGAAAATGAAAACGAAACTTAGCCGTCCTATGGGAAGAGATCAAGCTAAAAGAAAGCTAAAGGGTATCGCTGGTTCTTCAAGTCTCAGTGAGGATAAGAGAGAGGGGCTCTAAGAGTTGAATGAAGTCATGAACACATCCAAAAAAATGTTGCAAATTGCACAAAAAAAAGGAAAAAAAATTAACGAGTTTAAACTTTTGATGAAAGATGTTTCAAAATTACTCGAGAATCAACGTCGAACGGCAAAGAAAGTGAAGACGAAAATTATGAAGAAACATAATTTGGAAAATTTGTAGGATTTATGTTTTAAGTCAAGTTTTAAGACTAGTATTAAGTTATGTTTTAAATGTTGTAACTTTCTATTTTATTTTAATGAAAAGTTTGTTTTCTTGTAAAATATATAATTTAAATTTTTTTGAAAAAATTAACAAACCAATCCTCTCCAAAAAAGTGGCATGTCATAAATGTTGTGTGACAAAAATGTGATGTGTTTCTAGGTTACAACAAAAGGATTTTCACAATGGATTTTACTTATAAACACTATGTGCACATGCAACCTATTATAGCAACATACCTTATTAAATTAAAACTCTAGCTATGAAAAATAGAAAATTACAAGATTGGAATCATACCTTTAGCAACAAACAATTGATGCTAGAAACTCTCTTGTAGATCTCCTTGGAAAGCTAGCTCCAATAATATGGTAGCCTCTAATGTGTCACACCTAAAACCCTACGAAACCCTAGGAGATAGAGGAAAGGGAGAAATCTGATTTCTCTTATGAGGGGATAGATGATCCGTTTTCACATAGTTTCCAGATAACCTAAAAATCCAATATGTGAATATTAAAATAATAGTATTTTAATCTGATTCAAATACAGTTTCCTTATCTGATTTAGGAGGCTTTTAGAACCCATTCCTTAACTCCTTAAAACCGTCCATAAGTAGGAAGGATCTAAAATCACCTTTCTTGTTCAACTATTCGACAATTGCAATTCAACCAATGTACTTTTTATTAATTCTAATTAATCCAAAATGAATTCAACTTAATTCATGATTAATTATTAGTTAACTATTAACTATTTCTAATTTATATACTAATTATATAATATATTAATAAATCATTTATCTCTATCCTAATACCAATCCAAGCTATTTCATGGTTAAGAGGGCAATCCAAAAAAGACTTTACTTTTATTCTTTGAGATTATACCGATTTAGTTAAGACCTTAGATACTTAATCCAACAGTCTCCCACTTGGATAAGTTGCTAAATACAATTGCTAGTATAGTCTTTGAATAACCAATAAGGTGTGCTTTCCAAAGCCACTGCCAAACTTTAATCAATTAAGACGTCAACCCTAAGATAAATGATCAACTATCCCTTTGGTCTTCAAGATATCATATGGAAATGAGACATGCATATAAATCAATATCATGGTCCAAGATTCTGTTTCTCGATTTCTTGATTTGTGACGACGTCATCACACCCAACTCGTCGAGTGCACCAAAAAAATCGTCGAGTTCCTACAAAAATCAGAAGGTCGAGAAAATCCCAGCCAACTCACCGATTTAGCTTGCAATCTCGCCGAGTTTGCCCGAGCTTAAAACATTCAGCTGATCTTATGATTTTAGGGACTCCAAGACTCAGATCTAACCGCAAATGCTATAAAAAAAAGGATAAACTTTCCAACTCTATCCCTTAGGGCTACTCCATGAGCTCAAAAACCCATTCACAAGGCTTGAAGATTCAAGGGCTTGACCAATAAGCACAAAATCCTTGAGATTTGGAACCTAACCTTTCCAGAGGAGATCCTAGCCTCAAAATAGACGCAAAGGTTGGTGCTTTATAGACATGCATGTCCAATGCATGTCTTGTACCCAAAATGGGTCAAAAAGAGGAAAATATGGCTTAAACTCCATACATGGCATCAAAGCTTGACTAAAAGCCAGATCGAAACCACTATAAGTTTATCTTGACTTGGAGATTCATAAAGTTGCAAACTTTATGAGGTCCATCCATTGCAACATCCAAGAATAAGGAGAAAAAGGGACAAAAGTCAAGATCTAGCTACATAGATATATAAAAATCGGATCTTGGACACTTACAAAGGTCCAGAAGAGATTAAAACCGAAGATGAGAGATTTTCTTGCTAGATCCTTGCTTCCTTCTTCCAACTTCCTTCATCTTTTGCTCCAAAAATACCACACTAGATCACAATATGAGAGGGAATGATGATTAGGGTTCATAAGGGCCGATATGAGAGCTTGGAGACTGATCAGCCTTAAGGACTTAAGGAGGTTATATAGGATGCAAAACCCTAAAATTTAGGGTTTCCCACCCAACCATCAACACGTCGAGTTCCCCTCACCAACCTGCCGAGTTGGTCCATAAAAATGTGCGGCCCAAAAGTCCTTCAACATGTCGTGTTGAGGCTACCAACATGCCGATTTCAAATGGAAAAACATGCTTAAGGAAACAAATCTCATACCTGGGAATCGGGATGTTGCAATCCTTTCGTTAAATTAACCAAATACTACTTATTGATCAAATATAATATGCTAGTCGAAATTCAATAAGTTATGAGGATAAATACACACTGCATTGATATGACAGAAGTTCCAATTATGGTTAACATTCATGAAGTTCGCATTCCTTGACCTGTATTGTGTGATTTAATAATGATAGCACAATATTTTATAAAGACAATACCATTACTTGTTCTATCAATTATGACAATAGTATATAATAAAAACAAAACATATAATTGTAATGAAAATGAAATTGAATAAAAGTATCACAAGAATCTTAATATAGAAAAAATACTTGAAAGTGTTTACACAAAAATCACAACCACGAATTTTGTAGGGATTAAGACCTGCAAGTAGTTTCCTATGATAGAAGTTTTTAGGGTATGGATCTGTCTTGAGGATATAACAATCTATTTGAGGTATAATCTTGAATTTGTCGAATTTGTACAATGTTCAGAATTTTGAAATCGAGAAACCTGAACTGTAGATTAATTTCCAGAGAACAATGTCCCATTATCTTCTTAATCAATTCAAATACAATTTCATTCAACATGTTAAAGATTGAAATACTTACTTGCTTGATGATCAGTCTTACACAAAATTGAATAGATTTGTCTATGGATCAATAAGTGCATGCATTCATTAGTATAGACAAACAACTAAAATATTATAGGAAACTTTTATAATAACATTTTTTATCCATAAGAGAATTATTCCATAATGTAAGGTCTCTAGTAAATCCCATCTTCATTACGAGCTCTTGGTAAACTTTGGCTGGTAGACATTTCATCATTGGATCTACAAGCATGTCATAAGTGCTAACGTATTCGATGCAAAAGTTGTTTTCCTTTATTGGTTCACGTACGAACAAGAACTTTGTATCAATGTATAATCCTACATCGCTTGAGCTATTACTGTTTGAAAAATTAACAACATAATTGTCACATTAAATCTTTAAAGGTCTTGCTATGGATTTCACGACTTTGGTTCCACCAATAAGGTTTATTAACAACATCCCATGGCAAGTTGCATTATAAACTGCAACATATTCTGCCATCATTATCGTGGTTGTCATTAGTTGTTGTTTATGATTCCTCCATGAGATAGGCCTACCTGCTAACATAAAGATGTACCCTGAGCAGGAGCAATATTGCATGTTATAACGTACAAGAACGCGTTCAATATAAGCCTTTTGAGACAATCCTAATGTCTTATTGGCCCGATCTTGGTATATTTCGATGCCAATCACATAAAAAGCTTCTCGAGATCTTTCATGTCAAGATGACGTGAAAGTAATTGCTTTGACTCATGTAATAAATCCAGACTATTAATTTTCAAAAGAATGTCATCAACATAAAGGAAAAGTATGGAAAAATTGCCCCCACTCATTTTAAGGTATGTACACTGATCCACTTGATTTTTATTAAATCCATTCTTTTTCATGACTTCATCAAACTTTAGTTACCACTATCATCATGCATGTTTTAACCCGTATATGGACTTCTTACGTTTACATACAAGGTGTTCTTTAACTTTTTCGATTGAATCATGAACACATCTTCATGTAAATCACCATTAAGGAAAGTTGTTTTAACATCCATTTGATGTAGCTCTAAATCAAAATGAGCTACTAGGGCCATAACGATCCTTAAGGAATCATTTCGTGAAACTGGAGAAAAGTATCTTGATAATCGATTCCCTCTTTTTGGATGTAGCCTTTAGCAACCAAACATGCTTTATATGATTCGGTGTTTCCGTTCGGGTCTAAATTAGTTTTAAATACCCACTTTCACTCTATAGGTTTTACCCCTTTAGGGAGTTCAACAAGTTCCTAAACGTCATTTTTACTCATAGAATCAAGATCATCAATCATAGATTCATTTTATTGGAATGATTGGTCACCATTAATGGCTTCCTGATAAGATGTTGGATCGTTGCACTTTCATATATTCATATCAGCTTCATTAAGGTAGGTTATGTAATCATCAAAGTTATTGGGTCTTCTATCCCTTGATGACATCCTTAATGCAATTTTAGGCTCACGAGGCTCAATGATAACAGGGATTTGATCCTCTAAGTGAGATGTGCCTTCATTTAATGGCACACCTGAAGCAACATTCTCTTCATGAGAGGCACTGGGTGGGTCAGTGTTATTTATAGGAGGTGCAACATGATAACGAGGTAAGGGGCTCATTGGTCCGTCCTTCTGCACTTCCTATAAGTTACCATCATGATATATATTGCTCTCACTAACATTAGAGTTCTCTAGGAACTCACCATGGTGAGTTTCAACTATGCGAGTGGGATAGGAAGGGCAATAGAATCTAAATCCCTAAGAATGTTCAGTATACCCTATGAAGAAACAACTCACAACTTTCATGTGAAGCTTTCTTTGGTGAGGATTATAGAGTTTAACTTTGGCTGGGTAACCCCATACTTCTAGATATCTCAAACCCAGTTTCCTTCCTATCCAAATTTCATAAGGTATCTTAGGAACATACTTAGAAGGAACCCTATTGAGTATATGGACTATCATATTTAATGCCTTAGTCCATAAGAATGAAGGTAAGTTGGTATTTGCTAACATACTTCTTACCATGTCCATAAGGATCTTTTTTCTTCTCTCAGCAACACCTTTCTGCTAAGGAGTACCCAACATGGTAATTGGTTTGTGATCTCATGTTCCTTGCAAAAATCAAAGAAATGATATGGAGCTTGACCAATATCAATATGCCTACCATAATATTCACTTACTCTATCTGATCTCACTACCTTTATATTACGGTCGAGTTGATTTTCAATCTCGCCCTTAAATGCTTTAAACATCTCAAGTGATTCAGAATTTCATTAATCAAATTCAAATACATATATCGTGAATGGTCATCTATAAAAGTGATAAATGACTTACGTTCAGATATTCCTGCGGGAAAAGGCCCACAAATGTCAGTATGTATGAGTTCTAGTAAATTACAACTTCTTGTGGCACCTATTTTATTCCCCTTTGCCATTTTCCCTTCAAACACTTAACACATGTCTCAAAATCATTGAAATCGAGAGTTGTCAATACACCATTTTTCACGAGTCTTAACATTCGATCTCGTGAGATGTGGCCTAAGTGTTGATGCCACAACATAGATGAGGTTTCCAAGTCTCGTTTCCTTTCATGTAAGTTTTCATTTACATTATATGATAACAATGATTTTGAGAAATGGTCATCCAGGTTCAGTTTTATCTATTTAACCTCCAAACAATTAACCTTTGCCGAAAAATATCAAAATCTCATATATAATTACAAAAAATGTTATAACATCTCACGAGATATTGACGATAAATAAAATAAAATCTACATATTTTATTTTTTCAATCTCACGGCAATGATTTGTCATCGTAGTCCTTATTTATTTTTAAGTCCTCACTCGATCCAACTTATATATATATATATATATATATATATATATATATATATATATATATATATATATATATATATATATATATAGGGCTCAATTCAAGAAATAGCATTTCACTTTCATATATTTGTGTATTATTTTCATTTGATTACATCAGTGTAATGTTTTCTTAAATTTCATTAAGGCGCTGTATTCTCGAAATCTATTCAATAAAGAATTGCACTTTTAATGTTCTTTTCTATTAGAACATTATACCTTAAAACGTATATCAATTTCAACACTAAAATCATAGTAAGATGATCAATAGGAAACAGAGATGAAGAGAGAAAGTACGTGCCTGTTACGATATTATGTGCACCCATATGTAACAACACACAAATGATGTGTGGAAGATAACTTTTGACTGGTTGTACCTCAACTTGAATAAATTTGCTGAGATGGAAATGTTTTAATATATTTTATCTTATATATGCTATTCATCATATCTTGTAAGCATTTACCCTTCGTTAGGGTTAGCTTCTCTAAACATTCTAATCAGCCAAAATCCGCAGGTAACTTCTCAAGAATTTTAGTCAATATCTACTTTACAAAAACATATAAACAGAAACTTTGGCATGTATTTACAGGTGAAATGGACATCTTTCTAGCGACTCCATAATTAGATGCAACTCAGATAAAAGACCAACCTCAAGTGATTCATCCACACAATAACAAGCACAATCCTTCTTGTTGAACAAAAAAGATTTAAACCTCAAACAACCATTTAAGCCTACGTAGACAAGCTTTTTTAGACATCCAATGGGGGTGTGAAGGTCTACCAATTTACAACAATAACTTAGATCTAACCCATTGAGATTTGGAGTCAACCTAAGGTCAAGGGTCCTCAACTTTGAATGACTAATGTCGAGGTTTGTGAGCTTTTGACATTGATCGGCCATGTGAAGTTCTTCCAAATAATAACTATTTTTAAGATCCAAATACTTGAGATTCGGAGTCAACCCAATGTCAAAGGTCCTCAACTTTGAATTAGAGAGTAGTAAGTATTCAAGATTTAGACATCTATGGGGCATGTGGAGTTCTTCCAAATAATTGCATTCAACAAGAATCAACTTTTCAAGATTTGGAGCCAAACGAAGGTCAAGGGTTCTCAACCTTGCATTTCTAAGGTTGATAGATATGAGCTTTAAACATCCAATTGGCATATGAAGTTCTACCAAATTGGAACATTCTCCAAGATTCAACTTCTCGAGATTTGGAGTAAGACCAAGGTCAAGGGTACTCAACATTGAACGATTTAGGTCAAGGAATTTGAGCTTGTTAAGAACCTACATAAGGTAAAAAAAAAATGAATATTGATGTAGAAACAAAACAATGGATGTACAACGTAATAATGAATCATGGAAAACAATCCATCAACCATAATTCTACCTTTTTTTCTCCTCCTTCCCAAAGTTGTTCGATTTTGCTGACATCCATCTCAATTGCAACAAGATTATTTGCTTGAAAGGTTTTGGGCAAAGACTTGTAAGGGTAATAGTTCAAACGCAGATATCGTAAAGCATCTGGAAAGTCTGGGCTAACTATATTAAATTCCAAATTACGGAAACAATCTCCAAGAACCACAGAAAGAAGTCTAAGTTCCTTCATCTTTCCAAGACCTTTTAAAACAGTATGTGGATTGAGCTTCTCTGTGTAAAATTGTAGACATCTTGTTGCTTTAGTACCCTGAAATCCAAATGAAGTCACCATGAAACTTGTGTCATAACTCATAACTCATAACAGTTGAACTTATGTTAGCTTTTCACAACTTACAAATAAACTTGATCCTTACCAATTCATTAGCCAATATATCTTCAACTTCTTCGTTAATCCACAATCGGCTATGTTTGTGAGGCTTATGAGGGTGCAGCCGACGAACAATATTCCTGCCCATTTCTTCAATATGGTCATGCATGTTCACCCATTTATAATTAGAATGACCATCAATAGTTATGAGAGATTTTTGCTCAAGAACTTTTAAACCATTTCTAGCATGAAATCCACAGCTTTCAAGCGCTTTAATTGCATTGTCTTTCTGCCAACCTTTCAGGATGCATGCAACATCTAGGAATATTTCCTTGTAATCCTCCTCTAGACCGATATAGCTTAATTCCAATTTCATCATAGTTTCTGCTAATGGAATCTTTTTTAGTCTTTTCAGTGCATCTACCCATTCAGGCTCATTTTTACCACAAAGAAACGAACCCATAACTTTGATTGTTAAAGGAAGACCAGCAGCATAACGTACAACTTGTCCAGATAGCTCTTCGTACCCTTGAATTGGAAAATCTCTCCCAAAAGCATGCCTACTGAAGAGGCAAATTGCTTCTTTATCCGATAACAGAGTGACATCACGAATGAACTTGACTCTGTGTGCTACCAACACTTGCTCATCTCTTGTTGTAATGATAATTCTACTTCCAGGCTTAAACCAATTAAGCTCACCAGCTAACGCCTCAAGCTGGTCTACATGATCCACATCATCTAGAACAACAAGAACCTTCCTATCACGCATCATCCTCTTCATTATGTGTACCCCTTCATAAACACTACTAATGTTGATGCCTCTATCATTTGTCACATCTGAAAGGACTTGATTTTGCAACGACTTCAAACCGGACAAAGAAGCATTTGAAGCTTCCCTCACATTCTCGACGAAGCTTTTACCTTCGAACTGAAACGATATTTGATCAAAAACAGCTCTGGCCAAAGTTGTCTTCCCACCACCTCCCATTCCCTTGATCCCAATCATGCGAACATCATTAAAACCAGTTCCTAAAGATGATATAACATCCTTGACCCGAGTCTCCATTCCTACAAATTTTTCATCAATGTTGAAACTAATGGAACGTAGCTCTAGCAAAAGTTCTTCAACAATTTTTTGGATGAATTTAGCTTCATGCCTGTATTTCAAAGAAGATTTAATTAGCTTACTCAAATCACATGACCTCTTAGATTATTGCATAGATGTGATGAAAGAATTACCCATTAGCAGTATTCTTTAACTCCCACCCAGCCAAATCCGCTGCTTCTTTTAGAGCCTCTCTCCATTTCCCAGTAGCCTCTTCCTTTCCATGTTCTGCAAAGGCTTCTTTAATTGCCCGACTTTGTTTGCGGACTTCAGAAGGTTCCACATCATAGAAAACAGGGTAGGCAGTATGCTCGGTTGTTCTGTGACATTCCATTATCTTCACAAGTTCATCCAAGCACCAAGATGAAGAGGTATAGTTCTTGGAGAAAACAATGATGTAGAATTTTGAGTCTTCAATTGATCCGATGAGCTCATCACTGATCTTTTTTCCTTTTTTGATTTTTTTGTTGTCTTTATAAGTGTGAATGCGTTTCTGCTGAAGAGCATGATACAGATGATCTACGAAGTTTGTACGAGTGTCTTCACCTCTGAAACTCAAAAACACATCATACTTAAAGCTCTTGTGAATTGATGAAGTTGGAGAAGACGCCATTGAAGGTATACCTGAAGAATCCTCTAAAAATTCAATTTTTTGCTGGTGAAATTTTATGCGAAATGATTGCAAACAAACATGAATGAAATGAATTGCCACAGGGGAATGGATCTAGCATGGATAAGGTGAACATGATGTGTAAATGGGTTTGATTAGGCTTGAACAGAACAAAACAAGATGTGAAAATTACGAGATTGCCCTTATTCAAATTTTCCAATTATCAATGTTTCCACACAGCTTGTTTATAAAATCCATAATTTCAAATAAGTTCTAAGACTGAAAACAGAGTTGTTAAACCAAATTGTCTAAATATCCATAATTTAATTAAATTTCTATCAAATAATTTAACAGATAAAACATTCTCAATCTCAATACTAATATCCTCTACACAAGAACAACTCCTGTTGTTTGCCTATGGTTTGCAGGTAAAAAGACCAACACTAGCACAAGAATCAACAATTTGTTTTTATAGCTTGATGACAACATGATGGAAGCAAAATTCTACATTTAAACAATTTTAAAGCCTTCAAATTTCTTCTAACGGACTACAATCAGTCAGCACATCAGACCGAAGTTGCTCTGATCAGATAAAGAAAAAGTGTTCGACATCTAGAACACGATAGTTGGCTTTGAGAACCTTTTATATTTCAAAATCAAACCCGACTTTTTTCAATTACAAAATCGGTAAATTGATAACAGAGCTGATATATAGATTGATCTACAAGTAAGTTCCACGACTGAAAATATATTTGAAAAGTACGGAGACTGACGAATTTTCAAAATCACCTAGGCATACTTTATTGCTGCAAATTATGCCGCTTCAATGAAAAAAGGTAAAAATATCTAGATTAGGGATCTTATACATAAGATTTTCTTTAACTGGTCAACGCTATACATCAAGAACAATGGCTTTTTTTGTGCAAGATTAAAACTTTTTAATGTTTAAATATCGTATACAGAAATCAAGAAGACTAAAGTAATTAAGATAAAGATTAAGCTATTGTACCGGTAACAGGGGGTGTAACTGGTAGTTGAGGAGAAGAGAGGAGAATAGGCGATGTTCACTGGGCCAAGATCCCACTCGAGCGAAAACTTTTACAGCCGGTTGACCAAAAAAGAGTGAAGAGAATCGTCGATTTAGATTGAGAGAGTAGAGACGATAGAGAAGAGATGACCTGTGGCGTCTGGACTAAAGTCAGAGAAAGGATGGGTGTCTGATGAAAATGAGAGAGATTACCAAGGAACAAACTTTTTAGACTAAATTACAGAAATGGTCCTGTGGGCACGATTTCAATAGTTTTGTAGTGGTTAGATTCTAGAGCAAATTACACGAAGGGTCCTTATGGTTTGGGGTAATTTGTATGTTTGGTCCTTAATTTATTTTTTTAACTTGGAAGGTCCTTATGGTTTGTTTTTGTTATGCGCTTGGTCCCTACTGTTTATTTTTGTTACGCATTTGGTCTCTATCTTATCTAAAAAGACTATTATTTAAAGAGGAAAAAATGATGGGGTAAGTGAGGTAAGGTGAGGGGGTGAGATTAGGGTGTGTTTATTTAGATAAATTAAAAAAATAAAGGGCATAATAGTCTTTTTAGGTAAGATAGGGATCAACCGCGTAACAAAAACAAACAGTAGGGACCTTCCGAGTTAAAAAAATAAGTTAGGGACTAAACGCGCAAATTACTCTAAACCATAGGGACCATTCGTGTAATTTACTCTAGATTTTATAGTTTTAGTCCTATTTTTTTTATTTATTTTGTCAATATTGGTCCTTACTGCATGTTTTTATTACTCATTTTGTGCCTATCTGTTTTATTACTCATTTCGTCCCTATATCTATTACATTGTGTCGACCACTCTCATATACCTCTCATATGAGGGGAATTCTAGTTATTTTCCTCCTTTCCAAACCAATAACCATCGTTTTCTCACTACCACTACCACCATTCAGCTTGTATTTGGAGTAAGGTAAAGTCCGTCTCACACCATCCTCATCCTCCTTCACTTTTTTTTCTTGAAAACTACCCTAACATTAAACTACGGCAACCTTGTCCCACTTCCAATTTTCTTTCTTGCACAAACCCAAATCATATATGCTAATATAACGGAAGAAAAACATCACCCTAAACATTCAATTCCTTCTGTTGTGCATATCTTACTTTCATTTATTTTCTCGATACCAAGTTATACATTGCATGGAAGTTTCTCAAGGTAACAAGTTACTCTAGGTTACTAGGTTATATGCTCAAAATTAGTGTTTACTAAGTACCAAATTTCTCAAGTTAAATTATGCAAGTGATCAACTAGTAAGGCCACAATCCAAACAATTATGATGGGATTCTTTCATATAGTTCATCTTTCATCTAGTTCATTATCAACTTGAACATTTAATGAACAATGCATAGAAACTAAAATAACTTACTTGTGATCATTAGGTTTGTTTTTGATCTCTTGGTTTGTTGCTGTTCTTTTCGAAATAAAATCAAGGCAATCATTTTTAGAATCCATGCAATTTTGTCATGTGTAACACCTGTTTTTCGGAATTTATCAGATGAAGACTTGAGGATTTCAAAGATGAGGTTTTGGGTAAAAACCTAATGTCACGACGTGGCCATGTCATTAAATGTCCGTGCCTAGCACTACGTCGTGGCAAGAGGGTGACCATGACGTGGTGGCTGTTGCAGCCCAAGCCCAATATTTTAAGGTTTCTACTATATATAAAGGCTCTAACTCATGTGTTAGGTCATTCTCTTTAGCCTTCCTCCACTAAAACCGAAACCCTAACCCTTACTTGAATGTTCTTGATGTTTGTGTGATGTTCTTGAAGTTTTAAGCCTTTAAATATAGTTTAGGATAAGAAGGCGGTGTGCTTGTTGGTTGTAAGGTTGTATTTATTTAAGATCCTGCTTCTCATGTATCTTGTGGACCTTTGGAAGGTATAAAGCTTCCACATTTATCACTCTTGTTTCTCATTTCATGCTGTGAGGTCCTTTTTATTCCTTTGAAGGGATGTTCTTGGAGTTTTGATGTAACACCCATTTCCTAGAATGAATCAGTCAATGGTATAAAGGAGTTAAATGCATGGGTTTTTAGGAAAACCATATGTCACGACATGGTATGCCAAATGAAGAACGCGTATTTCGGATGGTCACCACGGCGTGACATGAAGGGTGTCACGACGTGGTGAATGCTGCAGCCCAAGCCCATGATTTTTAGGGTTTCATTCATATTTAAGAGCTAACTCTATGGTTAGGCCATTCCCTTCAAACTCTATTCCCAATAAATGAAGCCCTAGCCTCTCATCTTGCCATTTTACTCTTTGATGTTGTTTTGGTCACTTGAAGGTTAAAGGAAGATTTTGTTGAACAATGGATAAACTAGCAAGCTTGTCTACATCTCTTGATGCACCTTCTAAACTTGTGTAAGTCTCCAAGTTTCCATCTCTATGGTTCATCTCTTGTGGATCTATGTTTTAAGCCCTTTCCTTAATGATTTGTGGTTATGATTGGTTAGATTGAATTAAGTTGGCAACTTTATAACTCTTTAAGGTCCCTTGGTCATCATATGTTCTATGTCTATATTGCAACATCCCAAAAATCAAGGTAAATTTTCATTTTCAAAACAAAACCAAAAACCATAAATGTTTACAGACATAGTTTCCAATAGTTATAATCGTGAATCAAAGTATCCGAAAATCAAATATCATAAAATACGAAAGATGTGCACGATCAAGCCTTCGCCTTGCCCTGTCCTTTGAAGTACCTGAAACCATAACAATTAAACTATAAGCCAAATCTTAGATAGTTCCTCCAAAGTACAACCCAATCAAGTAGAAAACTAAGGCTCTGATACCATTGATGGGTTTTCTAGGTTATAAAAAAATTATGTGGCAGAAAAACACTTAAACCCTTAAGTTTACATACAACCTACAAATGATCTATTTTTTCTTTATTGATAGCAATAAACTATGAACATCAATAAACCCTAGAGAGAGGTTATGAAAATCGAAATTAACATAAAGATTAGGGTTACATAATTTTTTGATTATAATAGAAAATAATCAAATCAAATCCTCTTAAAGTTCCTTGTAAAGCAAACACCAAAAGGATGATGCCTCGATTGGCTCACACCCAAAACCAGAAACCCCAGAATGAGGAAGGGAAAGGAGATTGAGGGAAATTTTGTTCAAATGCCTTTAGGTAATGTGGTGAACGAAAATTGAAAATAAATGGGTCCTATTTATAGTTTATGTAACCTGTAGGCAAATCAAGAATGGAATTAATTAAATAATAGATTTAATACTAATTCAAATCTTTTCCTTATATACAACCAGGAGGCTTTCAGAAACCCTAGGAAACCCTCCAAAACTGTCCATACCATGAAGGGTTCTAGAATTGTTTCTTTTATTCAACTATTAAACAATTACAATTCACCCCTTGCACCTTTAATTAATTTCAACTAATCCAAAGTTAATTTCAGATTAATAATTAAAATTAATTCTAATTGATTTCACATTAATTTATTAATTATATAAATTAAACAAATCAATTATTAAAAAATTGATCTCATACTAATTTACTAATCACATAATAAACCAACAGATCAACTATCTACTTCCAATTACTATATTAACCATATAATATATTAACAAATCATTTCCCCATAATTTCTGATTAATTTATTAATCATATAATAATCTAATAAGTTATACTTTTCTCTTCTAAAATCATTTCTAGCTATTTCTAGTGTTGAGGGCAACACAAAACAAACTTTGCATCTAATTACAAGAATATACCAATTTAGTTACTGACTTAGACACCTTAATCCAATAGTCTTCCACTTGGATAAGTCTGTAACAACAATTGTAAGTATAAACCTTGAATTAAACTACAAAGGGTGCTTTCCAAAGCCATTGTCGAACTCTGATTCAAATCAAACATTGTCCCTAAGATAAGTGATCAATTATTCCTTCGTTCTACAAGATATCATATGAACTGAGTCATGAATTAAATAATCCACCTTATGTTCATTTATTCTGTTTTTTGATTTCCAAATTTGTGATCAATTTAGACTATAAAATTAAACACGTCAATTTATTCCGGACCAGGCCCTGGTTTTAATAGATCAACTCAAATCACCGAAGGGCCCAAAGATATCATTTTTCCTTATTCAGGCAAAAGGAACGAATTACATTGACTATATAGTCATACAACTTACATATCAAATCACACATGGAGTATCCCTTTATAACATCCAGTTATGATACGTATTTGAGCAAACCAATGCACAATTGATCTGTAACTGTGAACAATATATCTCTATTTTAAGAATTGAATATATTATCGACTTAGAATTACTTGTGATTGAATCCATGAAGTAATCTCTAAGCATGAGTTTTATCAAATACTTAAAATCTCTATTTTCAAAGTACCCATGAATACTGTAGCAATTCCAATTACAATGTCTTAACCTCAATAAACAATCTATCAATCAATTCATGACAGTCTTAATTTACTACTTACTTCTAAAGGTATGAATGACTGTGGAATTTTCAATAATATTAAAATTACCCAGGGAAGTAAAACTTGCAAAGTGAAACACAATATAAATTAATTAACTATGGTATCATACCCATTGATCATAAATAAATCCTTATTGTTTTAATCATCATAAAAATTATGAATTTATTCATTGGATAGTGTTTCGAGTAATCAACAAACCACTTGAATCAAATAACATTAGTCATGCAATGTTGTCAACATGCATACTATAACGGCCATGTTTCTGAGCTAAGCACTAAAGATGATGTAATAGTCTAGGTTAACCTTTGTAACTCATTTTGAAATAATAAAGAGGAATTATGTGAATTTTGTGCTTGTTTACTTAATTATTATGATTTAATAAGTTAAGAATAAAAATAAGCATCAAAATATAATGTTAGATAAACCCAATATCTATGTAGAAAGTTGTAGTGGTTGAAATAAGGAATCCGGAGGTATAAAGAATACCGAAATCCGAGTTATAACGAAGAAGTTATGATATGTTGAAGTTTTGCGACAAAACCGACACAACGTTATATGACGTAAAAAGTGAATTTATGATAAAAATTCTTTTTAGCATTAGTGATCTAGACGAAAGTTGTAATATTCATTAAACCAAGAGCATGAATAAAAAGAACGTTCAAATCTGACTTCGTATGAGAAAGTTATAATTTTTCTAAGTTTCAACTTAACAGTATGCAGCCTGAAACTCGAAATTTAGATTGAGTGATTTTAGCCGAAACAATCTAAACGAGAATCAAAGATTTTGTTGATTGTAGTTTAACGGTAAAAAGACATACGAAAACAGACGTCGGATGAAGAAGTTATGAATTTTAATGGAATTTTCTTGTCCCGGCCTGTTAAAAATATAACGTTAAAAATAAAGTCAAAATTAGCCAATGGATTTTAAACAAAAGTTGTAGAGCATATTCTCACTTAAGCGTGGATATAAAGAACGTCAAAAACGGAGCTCGTATGCGAAAGATACGAATTTTAGAAGTGTGGAAAATTCAGAGTATGCCCAGCGTACCCGTGTTCATGGGCTGAGTTGGGCCACGTCGACCTACTCCATTACTTGAGTGCCTCGGGTCCGAAGCCTTGACGTATCCGATTTGATCCACTTAGTACACCCGGCGTACTCGGAGTACGCCCAACGTAATTCGAGGTTTCAGCCCCTATAAATAGAACTCGAGGGCATCCGGATTTGGTTTACTTTCTTTACATCTTTCACCCCTAAACTCTTTCCTAAATTAAAAGAAATACCCTTGAAGTCTCGGTGTCATCCCGGCACCCGAAGCAAGTCCGAGAGCCCGAAGATCCCGAGAAAAAGAGTTTTCGAGCCGAAACTCTGCCCGTGTAGAGCCCGATTTTTGAGAAAAACATCTCAGTTTTTATCGAAAACGATCATTTTAAGAGACAAGGTGCTGTCTGATTATCGTCTTATCAAGTGTGTGTGTAATCACTTTCACCTTACACATAGATATGAAATATTTTATATATATATGATACGTGTTATGTGTAATTATATTGTTTGTTTATTTAAGATGAGTGTTGAATGAATGTTTTATACAGGTTTTAAAATGATTTAAACTGTATATGTATTTTTATCTACAAATATGTTGGGTATAAAATGGGTAGATGAAATAGCTGATGTGTGTTAAAATGATGAGATATCTCGATATTGTTTTTGTTTCAGTCATCTAACGGAGTATAGATGACGACCACAGACTTTTCTAGACAGTCCAGTGGAATGCTAGCAGGCTCACAACCTGTAGGTGTTTGTGAACTTAGTGTTCGGTGGTATACTCCATCCCCCACATGGTTGCCTTATTTGACATACATTGCTGAGGAATCCCCTAAAGCAGTGTTGTCACCCCGATGAAAATCCTTAGACTAGGTCCCTTGTGATAGGTGTTTAGGGACGTAAAGTCAGGATAACGAGAATGGGTAATCAGGGTTATTGTTGGTTGATAAAATTAATAAATTTATTTTGGATTGATAAATTTATTGTTGGGTGATGAAATTAATAAATTTATTTTTGTTAATGAAATTAATAAATTTATTTATTTGTGGGTTGGAAACCCTATATGCTCGCCAGGATCCTAAGCCTGACCCCCTCAGTTTTCTATATTACAGGTAGTGGACCCCGAGTGTAGTTTGGAGGTTGAAGAGGGATTTTTGAATTATAAGTCAGTAGTTGTAAATATTTGTTGTAAGGCTTATAATTTACTGTTTATGCTTTTGATCTGTTTCAGAACATGACATCCCGAGGTTTTTGATATATAATGAAAATATTTATTTCTTTAAGAAATGTTTGGTTAAATTTTTATTATATTCTGTTTTGGAAACAAATTCCGCAACATCTTTTGGAAATTTACTCTGATTTTGTTTTAAAAGCATAAACTAAATCTGTCTTTTCTGGCCGAGAAAATTGGGGTTGTCACACATACTATGCCTCTCGATGGTCCTTCTTTTGTGAACAAATCAACTGGACATTACTCCAATGATGCCCATTCCAAATTCTCGTCCTAATTTGAGATTTAGTGGAATTTTATCTTTACACGCACTATCCTTCTGTGATGTCGAGGTTCTAAAGTCACAGAGACTGAGCTTTCGATATTACATAATGTTCTATTGGAACTTGTTACTAGAAACAATTCCATGTTTATGAAGTCTCAAGTTCAAGATACACTCCTTAAACACTTCTCTTGCGTTAAAGTTTCCAACTCACATGTAGATTTTGCAAACATATCCCATTATGTAAACATTCCTATATGACCATCAATTCATACCAGGAATCGTCTAGATCTAAAACGTGTCACTATGGTCCTTTCCAAAAAATATCAAACTTCTAATTGTCCACAAGCAACCAATTCTTTGGTAAAACCTTAGAACGTTCTTAACAGTTGTTTGACAACTTCAGTCATATGCAATTCTAATCCTTTTCACACAATGATAAAATCATTTGAAAAATAGAATAATTGAATATTATAGCGTATGTAATCGATCCTATATCCGAAGCATATGGGACTCGAAAACACTTCATAGAATAGGTCTCGGTTAATCTTTTATTTCCCAATTAATGAAAACATCACAACTCCAATTCCAAATGTGCTAGAGTAAGAAAACGTAACTACTCCACATATTACAAAGTGTTTTTATCCTTCTTAGTTTTGAAATGATTTTCAAGATATGATTCATAGTTACTAGAGCATGGCTCTAAAACTATGATTGGGAACAAAAGTATGACTCATCTTATGATCGAACTATTTATGACAATGATCAATTCCTTTTCTTGGTCATACAGTTGCAGATGTTATTGGAGGATTAAATGTGATAAAATTCCACAATTACTAAGATGATCATAAAACATGATACTAAAACATTCTCCTTTCTTTTTAGATTGGAGATTCTTTTATCTTTCTACCTTATAGATTCTTACATTCGTTCTGCTACACTTTGAACTTTTCAAAAGTATCAGAATTCTGCTTAATCTTATAAACAAAAACATATTTACTGATACATTAATAAATCATGACGAATAGAGTTATCATCACCTGTGGTGGATCTAAGGAGTCCATATCAACATATTCAATGATCATTTTATAGGTTGCTTCCTTATACCCCATTATAGTATGGTTTCGTGAATGAGACGTACTAGCAATTTGACTGACTTGTACTATACATATAATATATTAAACTTTTAATAATATATAGTATAAGGTGTATTTTAAAACTTTTTGAAATACTAGGGTTAAAAATTAAATTTTGAATTAAACTTTTAATAATTACTTAATTTTAAACAATTGATGATTTACCAATTATCCTTTAATTTAAATCATTAAGGATTTAAATAATTATCCTCAATTAAACAATTAGTAAATAATTCAAATTTAAATCATTAGGGATTAAATAATTCTCTTCAATTAACCAATTAATAAAATAATTCAAATTTAATCATAATCAAATAATCCTTATGATTTTCGAAAATAAAGGGATTAGGGTTACTAGGTTTTTAATTATCCAAAAATTAAGGCATTTGAAATTATAATTAAGGAAACTAAAAATCCTAAGGGAAAACCTAGCATTTTCGAAAATAGGGGTGGAGGCTAAGGTTTCAAGAACCTTAGCCTTTTCCAAAAAATTTAGGCCATTAGGGTTAAATTCCTATAAACCCTAATTTTGATCAATTCATTATTATGCACAATCAATTAGAAAGCTAAGGCTTTGATACCATTGATGGGTTTTCTAGGATATAAAAAAAATCATGTGACGAAAAAACAGTTAAACCCTTAAGTTCACATGCAACTTAGAAAGAATCTATGTTTTCTCTATTAATAACAATAAACTATGAACATCAATAAACCCTAGAGAGAGGCTATGAATATCGAAATTAACATAAAGATTAGGGTTACATACCATTTGATTATTATAGGAAAATAATCAAATCAAATCCTCTTGAAGTTCCTTGGAAAGTAAGCACCAAAAGGATGATGCCTCTAATGGCTCACATCCAAAACCCGAAACCCTAAAATGAGGAGGAGAAAGGGGATACGAAGCAAATTTGATTTTTAAATTAATAAAACCATTATCCAAAACAACATCATAGAAGCCATAGTGAATCAAAGTGTATCTATAATATCCAAGTACATCAGAGTAATATGAAATGTGGAACAGTCTGGTGTGTGCACTGCAATCATCTCAGGCTCTTCTCCTTTGAATCAGAAGTACATGAAATATAAATTGAAAACTGTAAGCATAAATCTTAGCGAGTTCCCCAAAATACCACATACCATACATATCAAACATAAAATAGTCCCCTTTCGTCATTGGGCCCCGCCCGACATCGAGACCTGCTCAGAATAGATCTGTCAGTCATAAGGCCCCGCCCGACATACATACAACGTATAAACACAAGCATAAAAATCACAAAGATAAATATCATACAATATAATCATCGGACCCCACCGGGCATCGGGCCCCTCCCGGTATACATATAAACACATAGTACATGCAAGAGTCATGCATACCACTTGCATCCTAAACATAATAAACCATATGCTAGGATTGGTGCCTTTGACCCGCTAAACACAGTGAGGAAACTCACCTCAAGCTGCAGAATCTCTCAGATAAAATCTCAGTTTGCTGGTCCGAAAAATCCTCGCATTAACATCATCAAATAATATTCAATTGATAAATGGATCTCGACCCATAATCAAGAATGTAAGTTACATGTCCAAAATCTAGGGTAATAGACCATTTTACCATTTTCTTACTTGGCCCATAACCAAGGTCTAACCCATTTGCTCAAAAGGCCTAAATTCCTAAATAGAATCCCAAAGGCCCAATAAGGACCAATTTCTAAATTAGGCCTAAAAATCATCATGGACCTAATTATAAGAAAGACTATAGTCTATCCATGACCTAAAGTCAGAAGTTTAATGGACCAACAAGGCCAAAACCCTAAAATCCCAAAATATGGTCTAAACCCGAGGAAGTCAACCCAAAAGTCAAATAGCTGAGTACATTGGGAGTATTGAGACTTACGCTTGGCATACTCCATCCGGAGCCAGTACGCTCAATGTACAAGCTGGGTACACCCCACGTACTCCGCAGATAGCCAACCCAACTCATTAAGCACTTATTCGGTTAAGCTAACATGCCACACTCTCAAATCTGATTCTAGAAGGTGACTTAACACATAAAGTTGGCAAATTTATACCCATGTATGACTTAGTAAGACCCAAAACTCAAAAAGAACCATAACAAAGAACCTAACTCATGCATGGACCAAAATAACTCACGAAGGTTGCATTTTTATCGCAAAGGGGCATCATTTGAGTTAAGATCTACCCCCCATGGCTTCTGGAGTAGACCATAAACTCAACTTTAGCTCAAAAGACCCAAAAATGCATAAATAACACCCTAAGTTGGATGTAATCATCAAGATGGAAGTTTTTTTTTACCTCAAATGACTTGCTAAGATGAAGATGACTCTGGATCTACAAGCTCAAGCTATTCCCAAGCAACATCCAAGTTTTCTTCTTCTTCTTCTACTTCACCAAAAACACCACCAAAACTCACTTTCAAGATCAAAACTCACAAATGATACTTAGGGTTTCATTTTTAGGATAGAATGTGATGGAGGTTGATCAATAGAATGTCAAAAGGTGATATAAGTTGCTTAACTAGGGTGAAAACCCTAAAATTAGGGTTTACCCCTGCCTTGAGTATGTCATGCGTACTCCCACGTACGCCCAACGTACGTAGGTGCATGCGCGATCCAAAATGAGCTAGTATGCTAAGCGTACTCATAGCGTACGCCTCGCGTAATGAGATGAATTTTGCGTTAAGGGGGTTAAAGGAAACATACCAAATTCTCGAATGTTACATAAATAAAACATTCTCAAGCTATGAATTTAAGTTATGTACAACTATCAGGCATCATACATCAGGCAATTCTATCATGCAATTCCTAAAGATCCCTAGCCTATATACTAGCATGCATTTATATATATCATCAATACACAAAAAAATGTGGGTATCTTGGGGAATCACTTTCCTTGGCCTCAGCTGATTGTACACATCACATCCTTTATGTTGGTTCTTTTAGAGTTAAATTTTGAAAAACATTTTGCAGAGTCCTTAGTTTGAGTTTCTAATCACATAAGTGTTCATCCAATTCTTTCAAACTAGGGCTCTAATATTTTTAAAACCATATCAAAATCCATAAATCATACAAACCATAGTTTCCAAAAGTCAAAATCATCAATCAGAGTATCCTTAATCATAAGTCAAATAAATATCGAGGATGATGTGGACAATCACGCCATCGCCTTGCTCCTATCCTCAAATATACCTGAAACCATAAAATCAAACTGTAAGTCAAAGCTTACTGGGTTCCCCCAAAGTACCCCACACACAAAAGTACCCAGAATACTCTTTAAGCTCATAATGAACTAAAATGGGGTTAAGGTTTCAAGGGAGACATTTAGGGGAAATGGAGGCTAAGAATGGAAGGGATTTATGAAGGTTAAGGTCCTTAAATAGGGCTCAAAACCCCGAAATTAGGGTTTGGGCTTTGGTCGCGTACGGTATGCATACTAAGATCTATGCCCTCGTAGATCATTAAAGCCTCGTCATCACGTTTCCTTTTATGCGACGCGTAGAGGCTATCTACGCCTTGCGTAGATACACATCCAACACTTGCAAGAATCAGGCTACTAAACTCCTGGATAAGAGTCAAGGAATCTAATGGTACATAATAAAACTATAAATATCCCAAGATGATACAACATAAGTACACAAACAATAAGAGATAATAGGGAGATGCAAACCTAGTATTTGAGAATATACTTAAGATACTAACATCAAGTACCCTTAGTACTCAACAAGACTACCCAAACCAAAAAAGAGTTATGGTGTAGAGATTACCCAAAAACAATAAGAACATGTATCAATATATTCATAAACAAAGACCCTTATAAAAAATGCTAACATACTTTCTACTTTATCAAAACATGTGAACTCACTAACATTATGTTGACCTTTTAAACTCACATATAATCATAAATTTTATAAATAGAAGTGATATTTATATTATGCAAATGTTTTTACTATTCTATGATTGTTCAATGTCTATAATCCAACATCCTAACATCGTGCCGCCCGACGTTTCCACCACCAGTCGGGGGTGTGACAATATAGTTGCACAACATGGTTTTAACCTACTATGGGTCATTGAATCTCATACCAAGTACTGGTTTTTTGCTTCATCCTATGTAACAACTCATTCAATATGTCATGTTCCTTACCACAGGGGTTAATCTCACCCTCATCACCTAATGTGTTATGTAAGTTGTCCTCTTCATCTAGGACACATAGTTTACTCAACAAGTCATCATTTGATGTTCTTTTTATAACAACATATTCACTTGTAGAATCAACACTAACATTCATCAAGTTATCCAGTTTATCCTCATTATCCCGACCCATTATGCAAGAATCACAATTATCATCTTTATCCAGGTTATCACCAAACCATTCTTCTATTTCAACACCAGCATGGTCAACATATACAAAAATCTTTCCATCTGTTCCGTAAGCATCAAATATAAAAGTTGCATACTCAACATCATTAGCAATATGATGAATCCCTTCTACTAATGTTTTTTCTGGCTCACAGTAATAAAGCTTCTTGAACTCTTCTTGCATGTAACGTTGAATCCAAGTCACAAATTCGGAGTAGGTGAGAGCAGAAACATCATTATCATCTATGGTATATGTGAAACCATTAGCATAAGACAAGGTATTACGGACAAATACCCTATTATTGTAGTTGAGCTCCAGTATGCAATACATACCATAATGATTTGGAATCAATGTTTTTGTTTTGATGCTTCTATGGTACATGAAAAAACCCTAACTTTTTTTATGTGCTCGGATGTTTTGATTTGTGGTTCAACAAATAAATTAATAATTAGTAATATATCCATGTGATCTATGGAAACCGGCTAACCTATTTGGCTTAATTGACAGATCAAATAAAAGATAAGTGACCTATTGCACAAAAATAAATAAATAAATAAATAAATAAGGACTAAATCAGACCAGAAAGCAAACATTAATATTTAACAGGCTATGACGACATTTTCCATTTTAAGAAAACATATGAACCAAACATGTAATTTTGTCTATAAATACAAATATTTCTTCCACCCTATCAGTTCTCCCGCTTCCACTAGCAAACTTTGCCACCTGCCGACCTCCACTTCTTACATCGGCTACTGTCGTCTTGCATAGATTTAAAATTCCTTCAAAATCATCTATGTTTTAGAGAGAAATCGATTGAGGAAATTCACGATCTTTTCGGTGGTCCATATTCACATAAACATATGATTGCCAGACTGTTGACTACTTATTTGAAAAGACACTCTCACACATATACCAACAATATTCACATCAAAAGGCTCTTATCATGGAAAAGAAGTGCATGCACATACGATTGCATTCGAGTTCGAACCCATTGTTTTCATTACAAATTGTTTAATCTAGGTGCACATAAAGTGTTCAAATATGAAGTATGCCCATAAAGTGTTCAATAGAATGCCTCAAAGAGACTATGTTCTTGGAACGCTAGCTATGAGTTTTTTTTATTCTTTTATTTATTTTTTACTTTTTTTAGTATGTCGGAAGTTAGTTATTGAGTATTTATCAAGAGGTTTGATTTAATGCATTAATTTATGGGTACTTACATAATGAAAATTGGAAATCCCTTAAGTTTTTGTGTCTATATGAAGAAATGGTGTGGGGTGGGATGCGACAACATTTGTTGTAGTTTTGAAGGCATATTTGGATTTGGAGGATTATAGTTTAGAAATTTAAATTTATGACTTTTACCGACTTTAATCTTTCACTTCATTGTTCGGTCAACACTTATTAATTTAGTGTCTTTAGATAGCGTTTGGTACTGAGACTGGACAGAACAATGTTGGATTGGATTGGACGAAACTGAATTGAATTGGACTAGACTGATTATTTATTTGTGAAGTGTTTGGTAGAAGTGGGATGAGACTAAACATGATGTTAAAATAACTATATTTTCCCGGAAAGGTATATATGTTTAATTTGTAATATATATATATATATATATATATATATATATATATATATATATATATATATATATATATATATATATATATATATAATCAACGTCACAATTCATAAGCACACAATATTGATCCATTAATTATTAACGTATCTTCATAAAGATTTCAAGTACACGATTTGAGTTATAAAGTTAGAGAAAAACTAAATGAGAAATTGATGGAATCACAACACAGTTGATAAAAATTATATTTTCTATGTGGGTTGTTAGATATTGTAAAAAAAAAAGTAAATAGGTAATAGGTAAAGTTGAAGAAACTTAATTGCAATAATGGTGTTGACGGCAAAAAAAAAAGTTTGGAATCTATTGAGAATAAGAAATGTAAAATTGGTTGTTCAGCACAACAATGGAAATGGAAGGTAACTAGATGGGATTGCTATCCTCAATATAAAAAGTGAGATGAATGTATTTTTCGAACACCAAAAAAGAAAAAAAAAGAAAAAAAAAATGGTCGGTGAAGAGAAGATGAATGAAAGAAAAGTCTATTGGGAATTCATAATAATGCTTCGATTAAAAAAATGGAGATGACAAGTGTTGATGAAAGGGTAGGGATGAGAGAGGAGACAAAGGTTTTTTTTTTTTTTTTTTTTATGTAAAATATATTTAGTTCCACTATTTTCCATCATTTTGGATGTGACTAAAATCCAACAAAATAATCCCATTTAACTTAGTCAAAGTCTAATCTTGTCTCAGTCCCATCTATACCAAACGCTATCAAAAAAGTCTTATTCTGTTCTATCCAGTCCTATATACCAAACGCTACCTTAAAGAACTATCATAAATAATGTTGGATTACGGTTTATTTTTGTATCAAACACGCAATCCAAGCATTCATAACACCAAATCCATCAGGATCACAGATTCAATGATTTCTTGCAACCATAAATTAAACTAGGAAGAGATGAATCATTACCTCTCTTTGTAGGCAATTTCTCTGCTTTCTTCTTGGATGAATCGGAATCCCAGACCAGAGATCCTTTTTTGTAGCAACACCCTAGCACAATGATTAAGAAACAATGGAAACTCCTCTTTTTGAAAACTTATGATTTTGCATGAAATTCACTCACTAATGGTTCAATTATTTTGTTTTGATACTATTATAAGACGTAATTATTATCATATATAACCATTTTCATACACACATGAGATTATCTTTAACTAACAATCTTGTTGTTAATCGAGATACGCTTTGGCTTTATCTATGACTAGTCAAGCAATAAGCATAAATCATTATGCTCCAAGTCTAAAAAACAATGTTACAAACACAATCTACCATAGACAACTTATGTGTAGGTTTTTATGGTCTTGCATCAAATGACGAATGCAACAACAATTTATTATCAAAATTCTGCATAATAAAATAATTATTGATAATGGTAACCAACAGATTCGGTTCTTGTAGGAGAATGTTAATAATACACACGAGCCTTTGGTGGGAAAGTCTTCACCTTCTGAGAACTAGCCTAGTCTAGTCTAGTCGCACCTTCTCATTCTCCCAGTATCTAGCACATATTTTAAGATCAACACAACATCATTTATTTGTGTATTACAACATCCTATTTTTATGATGCCATAATAAATAAGATGTTATTTCTTGCGTTTAAGAGAGAAAAATATATATTTACCCGAGCATGTGTTTCATCCATTTCTCATCATCTCTTTTCTGCAAAAGCATCAAATCATGAGAGAATGTGAAGAAAATAAAGAAATTAAAAAAGAGATATGAATGTGAGCAAACCATAAAACCTTCACGAGCATGAGCTCCTCTACTTTCTTTCCTGGCTTCGGCTGAATCCATGGTGATGCATGCATTCATCAAAAGGTACTCCAACTCTATTGTCTCTAGCAAGTCAGAGTTCCTTAAATATGTCTTCACATAAATACATCTTTCCAAAGAGACTATAATCAAAAGTACTAAATCTTAAAAGTCCAAATCAGATTTACCATATCAAGCATCTATCTTTCAATTTGACATCATGATAACTCTCCCAACTCCCATGCTTTGTCAATCACATTGCAACCTGTAACACTCACATAGTCATTAGTCAGCCAATACGTGGTAACAACGAAAAATATATATGCATATAATATATCTATATATACACACACACAAAACACCTTCTTCTAATGTCTCCTGTGTGCGAAAGACAGCAGCATTATTCTACATGATTCACTGCATGTTCAATCGGATCTGAGAGGTATGAAGTGAACCATTTGAATTCCTGATTTTGTCTAACCACGCATCCTTTTCCAGGAACAATGGCATCGGGATTATCTTTTTTTTTTTTTTTTTTTGTTTACAGTTTGGTACCACGATTATTATAAGCATTATAATATATAACTCGTAGTCCCATCTCCCATGCAAGTGTGAGCATAGGTTGCTTAGCTATATACTCTACGATAACCCTGAAGACAAAATAAAAATGGGGTGAGATAATAAGTAGATTGCCTATCTAGAGACCAAATTAAGCTCAAATGAAGTTTCCAAGATTGGGAGTAGGACAAGCACTGATGCGAGACTCCTATACTTTTAAAGTTCTTGATGCTAAACTAGTGCACTACACCCAATAATTCGAACTTTAACATCAACAAAGGCCAAGGATTTTGCCTCAAGAGGCAACAGGATTTAGTGCAGAAATTCGTTCTAACATATTGAGGGAACAAATACTCTATCCGGTAAGATATATTGACAATAAGATGAAAGAAACAACATTTGTTCATACAGCACGTTAAATTGTATGAAGAATTGTTGTATATTTTCAAATATAAGTGTTTGATTTTTGGCTTCAAAATGAACTATTTCATATCAATTTCAAACTTCAATAGTTCAATTCAAAGTAAGATGATCAACAGGAATCAGCGTAAGTACCTGTTACAATAGTTCTTTGTGAATTTGTTTTTCCTGCTTCCGAGCTTCTCAAAATCATTCCATTTCTATGCAGCAGGAAGTTTCACATTCTGGGGGTTGTGTCTCGAATATAAAACCACATGACTGAACAAGCCCTCTCGACCCAATAATATATAGATCTTTCAACAAATGAATGCTCTGCGGAAGATGACTTATGCTTGTACCTTCTATATCTAGCTCTTTTAAACATTCTAAACTTCCAAGTCCCTCGGGCAATTTCTCAACCCGAATACAATAGCGGAGATGGATATGTTTTAGACATTTCATCTCACAGATGCTATTCGGGATATCTTGTAACATTTCACACTTCTGTAGGTATAGCTTCTCTAAACACTCTAATTGGCCGAGATCCTCAGGTAACTTCTCAAGCAATGGACAATGATAAAGTTCAAGAGACTTCAGATGTTTCAACATACAAATGCTATCTGGAAGATGTTTAATCATTGAAGAATACAACGTTAGGTCCTCTAAACATTCTATGCGGCCAAGATCATTGGGTAACTTCTCAAGAACGTAACAGGATATAAGTTTGAGAGATTTCAGATGTTTCAACATACAAATGCTATTTGGAAGATGCTTAATCTTTGTATATGACAAATCAAGCTTCTCTAAACATTCTATTCGGCCAAGATCCTCTGGTAACTTCTCAAGCGACAAAGAATGATTAAGTTTGAGAGATTTCAAATGTTTCAGCATACAAATACTATCCGGAAGATGCTTGATCTTTGTATATGACAAATCAAAACTCTCTAAACATTCTAATTGGCCAAGATCTTCGGGTAAGTTCTCAAGCAACACACAAAGATTAAGTTTGAGAGATTTCAGATGTTTCAACTTCCAAATGCTATCCGGAAGATGCTTAATCGTTGTCGACAACAAAAATAACTCCTCAAGACATTCCAACTGGTCAAGGTCCTTAAGCACATCTCGAATATTGCCTTCGAGTTTAAGCTTTCTTAAACGTTGCAACCCACAAATGCTTCCAGAAAACGTCTCAAGATTTGTGCAAGCACACTTACTTAGAGAAATAAGCTTCTCGAGATTTCTAGTCAGCGAAGGTCTATCTTCTTCATAAAAGCAACTAAACTGAAACTTGGGCAGACTATGGTTAGGGTGAAGTGGGCAGCTTTCTCGGGACTCCACAATCAGATGTAACTCAGCTAAAGGACCAACCTCATGTGATTCATCCACACCACATAAAGTATAATCCTTTATACTAAACAAAAAAGATCTAAACCCCAAATAACCACTTCCGTCTAGGTGGGCAAGCTTTTTTAGACATCCGATGGGAGTGTGAAGTTCTACTAAATTACAACATTCTTTAAGATCTAACGTCTCGAGATTTGGAGTCGGCCCCAGGTTAAGGGTCCTCAATTTTGAATGACTAATGTTGAGGTTTATGAGCTTTTGACATTCACCAACCACGTGAATTTCTTCCAAATAATTACAATTTTCAAGATCTAAATTCTCGAGATTTGGAGTTAGCCCAATGTCGATGGTTCTCAACTTTGAATGACTAATTTTGAGGTTTTTGAGCATTTGGCATTCATTAGCCATCTGAAGTTCTTCCAAATAATTACAATTGCCAAGATCTAAATTCTCACAATTTGGAGTCCGCCCAATGTCAAGGGTCCTCAACTTTGAATGACTAAGTTTGAGATTTTTGAGCTTTTGGCATTCATTAGCCTTGTGAAGTTCTTCCAAATAATTACAATTTTCAAGATCTAAATTCTCCAGATTCGGAGTCAACCCAATGTCAAGGGTCTTTAACCTTGAATGACTAATGTTGAGGTTTTTGAGCTTTTGGCATTCATCAGCCATGTGAAATTGTTCCAAATAATTACAACTTTTAAGATCTAAATCCTCGAGATTTGGAGTCAGCCCAATTTCAAGGGTCCTCAACTTTGAATTAGTGAGTTATAGGGATTTAAGATTTAGACATATACTGGCCATTTGAAATTCTACCAAATAACGACATGCATAAAGAATCAACGTCTTGAGATTCGGAGCCAGCCTAAGGTCAAGAGTCCTCAACCTTGAATGTGAGATGTCGACGGATATGAGCTTTAAACATCTAATGGGCATGTGAAGTTCTACCAAATTATTACATCCTTCAAGATTCAATGTCTCGAGATTTGGAGCAAGCCCAAGGTCAAGGGTACGCAACCTTGAATGACTCAGGTCAAGGAATCTCATCTTGTTAAAAACCTAACAGAAGCAAAAAAAAAAAAAAAAAAGTTTAATATTGGTGTAATAACAAACCAATGCATGTAAAACATTATAATGAGTTGTGCAAAACAATCAATGATATTTACCTTTCTTCCTCCTCCTTCCCAAAGTTGTTTGATACTACTGTATGCCATCACAAGTGCAACAAGATTATTTGCTTGAAAAGTTTTGGGTAGAGACCTAAAAGGGTAACACTTCATACTCAGATATCGTAAAGCATCTGGAAAGTCTAGGCTCACTTTTTCAGATTTCAAATTATGGAAACGACCTTCGATTAACACCGAAAGAAATCTAAGTCCCTTCATCTTTCTCAAACCTTTTGTAACATTGTGCAACTTAAGTGCATAATTGGTGTGTATACATCTTGTTGCTTTAGTACCCTGTAATGCAAAACAAGTCACCATGAAACTTATGTTAGTAACAAGTGAAAATGTGTTAGTTTTCACCAACTTACAAACAAAATTTATATTTACCAAATCATTGGCCAATATCTCTTCAATTTCATCGCCAACCCACAATCGACTGTGTTTCTGAGGCTTATCCGGGTGTGAGCGACGAACAATATTCCTACCCATTTCTATAATATGGTCATGCATGTCCACAAACTCAAATTTAGAAATAGTTACGAGAGATTTTTGCTCAAGAACTCTTAAACCATTTCTAGCATGAAATCTACAACTTTCAAGCGCTCTGATTACTACGTCTTTGTGGAAACCTTTTAGCATGCATGCAATATCTAGGAATATTTCCTTGTAATCCTCCTCTAGACTGATATAGCTTAATTCCAACTTTTTCAGAGTTTCCATTAACGGAATCGTCTTTAATCTTTCTAGAGCATCAGTCCATTCAAGCTCAGTTTTACCACAAAGAAACGAACCCAAAACTCTAAGAGTTAACGGAAGACCAGCAGCATATTGTACAACTTGTATCGATAGCTCTTTGTACCCTTCAATTGGATTATCTCTCCCAAATGCATACCTACTGAAGAGGCAAATTGCTTCCTTGTCTGATAACAAACTGACATCATGAATGAACTTAACCCGGTGCGCTACAAGCACTTGCTCATCTCTTGTTGTAATGATAATTCTACTTCCAGGCTTAAACCAATTAGGCTCACCGGCTAACGCCTCAAGATGGTCTATATGATACACATCATCCAGAACAACAAGAACCTTCCTATCAGGCATCACCCTCTTCATCATGTGTTTCCCGTCATAAACACTACTTACTTTGATGTCTTTATCATTTAAGACATCCCGAAGGACTTGTTTTTGCAAAGACTTCAAACCGGACAAAGAAGCATTTGAAACTTCCCTGACATTCTCCACAAAGCTTTTACCTTCAAATTGAGAGGAAATTTGATCAAAAACAGCTCTGGCTAAAGTTGTCTTCCCACCACCTCCCATTCCCTTTATCCCAATCATGAGAACATCAAAACCGGTTCCTAAAGATGATACAACTTCTTTGACCCGAGACTTCATTCCTACCAACTTTTCATCAATGTTGAAACTAATGGAACGTAACTCTAGTGAAAGCTCTTCAACAATCTTTTGGATGAATTTAGCTTCATGCCTGTTCATTAAAAAATATTCAGTTAGTTACTCAAAATCCCACATGACTAGTTAATCACACTTATATAATCGTATCCCAAGGTTAAGCTTTCGTTAAGACTCAGATCTTGAGTTAAAATATGACAATCAAATATGCCATGTACGAGTCGTTTACATCCAGGACTCCAGGTTATCCCCTAGATCAGAAAAATTCAAAATACAAGAATACTGCAGACATATGATGAAAGAATTACCCATCAGAAGTCTTCTTCAACTCCCATCCAGCCAGATCCGATGCTTCTTTTAGAGCCTTTCTCCATTTCTCAGCAGCCTCTTCCATTTCATATTTGGCAAACGCTTCTCCAACTGCCCCACTTTGTTTTCTGACTTCGGAGGGTTCCACGTCATAGAAAACAGGGTAGGCAGTATGCTCGGTTGTTTTGTGACATTCCATTATCTTCACAAGTTCATCCAAGCACCAAGATGAAGCGGCATAGTTCTTTGAGAAAACAATGACATAGAATTTTGAATCTTCAATTGATCGGATGAGCTCATCACTGATCTTTTTTCCTTTTTTGATTGTTTTGTCGTCCTTGTAAGTGTGAATGCTTTTCAGCTGAAGAGCATGATACAGATGATCCACGAAGTTTGTACGGGTGTCTTCGCCTCTAAAACTCAAAAACACATCATACTTAAAGCTCTTGTGAATTGATGAACTTGAGGAAGACGCCATTGAAGGTGTACCTGAAGGATCCTTTAAAAAATTCAAATTCTATTTCCAATTATCAAAGTTTTCAACACAACTTGTTTATAAATCCATAATTTCAAATAAGTTCTAAGACCGAAAACAGAGTTGTTAACACAAATTGTCTAAATATCCATAATTTAAGTAAACTTCCATCAAATTATTTAACCGATAAAACATTCTCAATCTCAATACTAATATCCTCTACACAAGAACAACTCCTGTTGTTTGCCTATGGTTTGCAGGTCAAAAAGATCAACAACCAGTTAAAGTAGCACAAGAATGAATAATTTGTTTTTATAGCTTGATGACAACATGATGGAAGCAAAATTCTTCATTTAAGCAATTTTAAAGCCTTCAAATTTCTTCTAACGGACTACATTCAGTCAGCACATCAGACCAAAGTTGCTCTGATTGGATTAAGAAGAAAGTTCGACATCTAGAACAGGATAGTTGGCTTTGAGAACCTTTTATATTTGAAAATCAAACCCGATTCTTTTCAATTACAAAATCGGTAAATTGATAACAGAGCTGATATATAGATTGATCTACAAGTAAGTTCCACGACTGAAAATATTTGATCCAGAATATTAAAAAAAACTGAAATATTAGTTTTGAATTTGAAAAGTACGGAGACTGACGAATTTTCAAAATCACCTAGGCATACTTTATTGCTGCAAATTATGCCGCTTCAATGAAAAAAATGTAAACATATCTACATTAGGGCTCTTACTCATAAGATTTTCTTGAACTGGTCAACTTTATACATAAAAAACAATGGCTTTTTTTGTGCAAGATTAAAACTTTTTAATGTTTGAATATTCCTCTACACTCAGAAGGAAATCAAGCAAATTAAAGAAATTGAGATAAAGATTAAGCTATTGTACCGGTAGCAGGGGCTGTAAGTGGTAGTTGAGGAGTTGGTTAAGAAGAGAGGAGAATAGGAGATATTCACTGGGCCAAGATCCCACTCGAGCGAAAACTTCTACAGCCGGTTGACCAAAAAAGAGAGAAGAGAATCGTCGATTTAGATTGAGAGAGTAGAGACGAGAGAGAAGAGATGACCTCTGGCGTCTGGACGAAAGTCAGAGAGAGGATGGGTGTCTGAGTGACTGAGTGTATAATGAAAGTGAGAGATTACCAAGGAACAAAGTTTTTAGACTAAATGGGTGTTTCACAAAGTTAAAGGAGTTTTTTTTTTTTTTTTTTTTTTTTCGGTTTACCTGGATAAGTAAAAAAATAGTAAGGTAAAAAAACCATTTATAACCTCAGGTCAAAAAGTCATAAGTAACCTATCCATACTTATTAAAAACACTTTACTTCACCAAATAAATTATAACTTAAAAAATTATAAATCTTTTCAAATAAGCTTTGTCAAACACCCTCTAAATTACAGAAATGGTCATGTGAACATGAATCTATAGTTTGTTTGTGGTGGGCACGATTCTATAGTTTGAGTCCTATTTTTTTAATTTATTCAACATTGGTCCTTACTGTATGTTTTTATTACTCATTTCTTCCTTATCTGTTTGATTACTCATTTCATCCATATCTCTCTTACATTTTCATTGGATGTGTCGACCACCCTCATACCTCTCATACGAGGGGAATTCTAGTCATTTTCCTACTTTCCAAACCAATAACCACCGTTTCTCACTATCACAACCATCCAACTTGTATTTAGAGTAATTTAGGTAAACTCCATCTCACACCATCTTCATCCTCCACTTTTTTTTTTCTTGAAAACTACCCTAACATTAAATTATGGGAACCTTGTCCCACTTCCAATTTTCTTTCTTGCACAAACCCAAATCATATATGCTAATATAACAGAAGAAAAACATCACCCTAAACATTCAATTCCTTCCATTGTGCATATCTTACCTCAATTTATTTTCTCGATACCAAGTTATACATTGCAATGAAGTTTCTCAAGGTAACAAGTTACTCTAGGTTACTAGGTTATATGCTCAATATTAGTGTTCACTAAGTACCAAATTTCTCAAGTTAATTTACGTAAGTGATCAACTAGTAGGGCCACAATCCAAGCAGTTATGATGGAATTCTTTCATCTGGTTCATCTTTCATCTAGTTCATTGTCAACTTGAGCACTTAATGATGTATAGAAACTAAAATAACTTACTAGTGAGCATTAGGTTTGTTGTTGATCTCTTGGTTTCTGTCTGCTCTTTTGGGACTAAAATTAAGGTAATCATTTTTAAAATCCATGCAAATTTGTCATGTGTAACACTTGTTTTCCGGAATTGATCAGATAAAGACTTGAGGATTTCAAATATAAGGTTTTGGGCAAAAACCTGATGCCACGGAGTGGCCATGTCATTAAATGTTTGTGTTGCACCACGATGTGGTGGTTGTTGCAGCCCAAGCCTAAAATTTTAGGGTTTTTACCATATATGATGTGACATCCCCAAAATCTCGGCCAGAAAAGACCGATTTCATTTATGCTTTTAAAATAATTTCAAAGTAAATCTTTTTGATTTGAAAGAGTTACGGAATTTGCTCCCAAAAACAAAGTATAATAAAATAATATTTACCAAAGCATTTCATAAAGAAATGTATTTTCATTATAAAATCAAAACTCGGGATGTCATGTCCCGATACAGACCATAAAGCATAACGATAACATTACAAGTCATTCAACGAATACATACATATACAGACTTGTAAACAAAACAACTTGATGATTCATCCCTCTTATGCCCATGCGCCACTTCCTGTAATACAATTAAAACTGAGTGGGTCAGGCTTAGGAGCCTGGTGAGCATATAGGGTTTTCAACCCACAATAAATAATTAAATTTAATTTTCACCAACCAACAATAACCCGATTACTCATTCCCGTTATCTTCACTTTATGTCCCTAAACAACATCTATTACCAGTGACCTAATCTAGGATTTTCATCGGGACGGACATTACTGCTAAGGGGTTTCCTCAACAATAGATGTCCTAAAGGCAACCATGAGGGGGATAGAGTACACCGGTGAACACATCGTTCACAACACCTACAGGTTATGAACCTGCTAGCATTCCACTAGACTGTCTAGAAAGAGTCTGTGGTCGTCATCCATACTCCGCTAGATGACTAGGTCAACAACAACATCGAGGTCTCTCATCTGTTTATCACACATCAACTATCTACCAATGTTCTACCCAACATATTAGTAGATAAAAATACATATTTTTATACATAGTTTAAAATCTGTATAGCATTCTCATTCAATACATTTTCCAAACAACAGATGAGACACATACACATAACACGTATTTCATAGAGAACAAATCATGTCTATGAGATAGAAGAAAGTGAATATACATTCACACATATAACAACAAAATATACACATAACACGTATTTTATATAAAATACTTCATAATTATGCGTTAGAAGAAAGTAACTACACACTCACTTGATCAGAAGATGATCGGACAACACTACGACTTATAGAAGTAGTATTCTTCGGTAGATTTGGAAGATCTTCACAAAAATCAAGCTTCTCGCAGGCAGAGCTTCGGCTTGGGAATTGCACTTCTCGGGATCTTCGGAGCTTCAGGACTTCCTTCGGGGCTCAGGAATGATACCGGGGCTTCGAGATATTTCTTGCACACAAAACGGGGTAAAACGGGAGAGAGAGAGAGAGAGAAGAGAAAATGAGCAAGAAGGTCGGCTGCCCTCGCATGCCTTTTATAGAGGCTGAGCCTCGCACGTATGTTGGGCGTAATGCTTAGCTATGCGCGGCGTACGCAACCAAAAAAGTCATTACTTACGTATCGGAGAACTTGAGTGCGAGGCGGGTCACGCTTCGGTGTACGCTGGGCGTACTCAACTACGCTGGGCGTAGTGTGGATCAGATTGGTGACTCCTTTGGATATATATCCGAATTAAAGATTAATTAATAAATATTAATCATTTAAAAACTTCGGAAATTCATATCTTCTTCATACGAACTCCGTTTTCGATGTTCCTTATATCCACGCGTAGGTAAGACTACACTCTACAACTTTCATTTAAACTCCGTCGGCTAATTTTGAATTTATTTTTATTATTTATTTTTAGTAGGCTAGGACAGGAAAACTCCGTTATAAATTCATAACTTCTTCATCCGACGTCTGTTCCGTCTGTCTTTTTACCGTTGCACTTCCCTTGACAAGATCTTCGATTCTCATTTAGATTGTTTCGGCTAAAAACTGCTCTAACATAAATTTCACTTTTTACGTCATTCAACGTTGTCGGTTCTGTCGCGAAACTTCGACAGGTCATAACTTCTTCGTTATAACTCGGATTTCGGCATTCTTTATATATTCGGAAACCTCGTTTCAACTACTACAACATTATTCATAGATATCAGCTTTATCTAACATTTTATTTTGACGCTTATTTTCATTCTTAATTTAATTAAGTCACACAACTAAGCACAAAACACATAATACTCAAATAATACATCTTTATTATTTCAAGGCGGGTTACAAAGGTTAACCTAGACTATTATATTGCTATTAATGACAAGCCCAGAAACACGGGCGTTACATATAAAGGCTCTAACTCATGGTTTGGGTCATTCTCTTTAGCCTTCCTTTTCTAAAATTGAAACCCTAGCCCTTACCTGAATGTTCTTGATGTTTGTGTAATGTTCTTGAAGTTTTAAGCCTTTAAATACATTTTGGGAGAAGAAGGTGTTATGCTTGTTAGTTGTAAGGTTGTATTTATTTAAGATCTTGCATCTTATGCATATTGTGGAGCTTTAGAAGGTATAAAGTTTCCATATTTATCATTCTTGTTTCTCATTTCATGCGTTGAGGTCCTTTTTATTCCTTTGAAGGGATGTTCTTGGAGTTTTGATGTAACACCCGTTTCCATAAAGAATTAGTCAATGGTATAAAGGAGTCAAAGACATGGTTTTTTAGGAAAACCATATGTCACGACGTGACATGAAGGATGTCATGACGTGGTATGCCAAATGAAGAACGC